TGTGAGACTGAGGAGACGCACTCCTTCATCGGTTGAAAAAGAGCAACGTTGGTGGGCAGTGTTTATTTTGTTGGTAGCGACGCACACGCAACACATCCTTTTGGTCAAAAACTGTACTGAAAAATGCATGTCTTAGACAGGTAAAATTGTCTCCGTTTTTCCTTTCAGCTGAGGGCGCTGCTGCCCTGATGTTATTGTCCAGTTTAGGAATTTTTCATTTCAAACTCATTGAAAGCATTTGTGAGAAAGTGTTGCTCTCTGGCAACCCTTCATCGCCTAATAATTATTTAAAAAATGGTGAAACGAAATTGAGAGAAAAAAGTTAATGGGAGGTGAATTTGGAGTTGAATTTTAAGAGTAACGTTGCGTTGGCTCCTTTGAAACCCTTTCATGGCACTATCATCTCCCGCTGATCGCGTTTTTATCCATCTGAAATCCTTACAGATTTTGTACAGACAGCCTCTTTATCAAGCAGATGTTTGTTTAATCTGCTGGAACACGTGGGGATAAATATACCAACGGGTTCTTAGAACCAAGGAAGAGTCCGTCCAAATGTGCTAGGTCCTTTTTCGTTTAATTTATATTTCTTATGCTTTCCAGATTTTAATGAGTGCAGTACCAAACCCTGCTCGCACAGATGCGTGAACGGCGTCGGCAGTTTCCGCTGCTTTTGTCCGACCGGTCACGTGTTGCTTGAGGACAAGGTCACGTGTCACTGTAAGTTATCTGCAAGGATGCTCCCACCCTAGTTCAAAAACAAGAATATAATCATCACAACCGCCGAACGAAAGTTTGGAAATAACTTTTACACATAACAAGAAGCATTAATTCTGTACTGTGAAAGAACTGCTTGAAAAATAGGTTCGTTCGCTCAGCACACTTTAACCACAGAGTACATGTATTACATTCACAACATAATAATTCCAATGCGTTTCCGTCCTATCAGTTAACTATATTTTGGTGTCTTTAAATGCGATCATAACATAGTACATGTATGCTGGTTGGCACTGTGCCTGCATAGGCCTATGATTTGTATTGTCAGGACCACTGAGTTTAATCAGAGAGTTTCATTCTGAATTATTTCATTATCCCTGTTTTTTACCTTGTGTTTACGTATTTCTGACACGCAGGGGATTACAGATGCCACCCAGACAGGTGTGCCTACGGATGCGAGCAGATTGGCTACAACTTCAGGTGCCTATGTCCCGATGGATTAAAAGTCTCTGAAGATGGGTTCCACTGTGAAGGTAGGAGTGCTGTCTTGGCTGAGTCCCCCAAAGTCATACTGTGCTCATACTAATTTGGCCTGATTCTGCAGTTTCTATAGTCACCAGCCTATTCGTCGCCTTTGAGCTGCGTTAATGGAGTTGTCCACGCAGCCTATAATAACGTAATACCAACATCGCCAAAAAGAATTTGCCGCGTTCGCTTCAACCCGAGGGATGGGAAAACGCACGAAAAGGGCCAAGAAATCGGGACATCGGACCCTGTGGAAGGATGTGCACGCATCTGTACTCTAATTCTTTGTTTCCTCATTGTAGAAAGGAAAAAAAATATGTTGCTTTTGTCCTGTTTTCTTGTAAAACAGTCGAGTAGCAACTAACATCTTGCAGAACGAGGGGCAAAAACAATTTTCCCAGAAGGTGCACTTTCTCCTGTGACCTTAAAAAATGTCCCGATCCGGGGCAAGGTCTTCTCAATCACAGGAGGCACGTTTAAGTAAGTGGAAATTAGCTAGTAAATTACTTCCGCCGGTTAGCATGAGTCAATTAGTGACACGGTGGGCTCCGTTGGCTGAGTGCTGACAGAGGTTGGACACGGTGTGCGTTGGGAAACTCTTGCTGGCGAATCGGACCCTTGATGATAAGAAGATTCTTCAATGTGGAGCCACATCGATGCAGGAGTGTGTGAAAATCCGTGGTGTAATATTTTAAATTTGGTATTGCTTATAATAATGACCGGGGGTTCGATGCACTTTAAGAATGTTCCAGTGGGGTAGGGTAGTGCTTTGTCTCTGGCGTAGGTACTTCACAGTGTGAATTTCACACACTACATGTTCATGTACGTTGCTGGAATATTTAGCTACAGTCACAACCAGACACAATGACTGGGCCTTTCTAATAAAGGAACGTTCATTCCTTGGTTCACTTGCACCTTTAACTAAAGGCTTGGAATCGCCAATCACAAACCATGTTCACATAGGCCTAATTACAACAGCAGTGCCTCAACATTGGCACGAGAGGAGCATTACGTGTGAAAAGCAATTTAGTGTAGTCAGTCACTGGGGAAAACCTCCGTGTCGCATGGTGAACTAGGCTCATGTACGAGTCGTGAACTCGCAACGGGGACATGCTCAGGGGGAGCCTTCACGTCTTCGTCAACGAAAATGATGTATAGCTGACGTGATCAAAAGAGCCATAAAACGGTCATACTGCTTCAAAGGGAAAGGCCCCATAACCCCTTTCTTTGTCAAGAGGAGGGCTCTCCTATTTATCATGGCCTGTATGGAAATACAAAATGTAAGAAAAATAAGTGACTGATACCTCTTTTGACGTTAACTCGTCCCCTGTTTCAGTAGAGTTAGCTATAGATCTCATCTTTGGCCATATCACAGTATCTCGGCACACATCTACAACCTTCTTCTATTTTTGAACGATGATCTAATTGCCCAAGACGTGCTTAACCTAGAACGGCGGCGGCCCCACAGGATACATCCGGGAATCTGTCGGCGAGGGAAAGGCACTTCCATTTCTTTTTAATTAAGGCGTAGTGTAAATAGGCTCCTGGGACGGCTATCCGCCGAACATTTGTTTTTGCGGGAATCTGTAGGCCCTGGACGAGATTACATTAAAATTGCTGCACAGAAAAACTTGAGGGAAAAACAACTGCATGAGACGGTGTCACTCTTCACAGTGTACGTTACGTCGGCCAAGGGCCTCGCCCGAACATTCATAGAGTGTTTGGAGAGAAAATGCGCAGCATTCCAGCGCTGAATGTCAGCACAGCGCAGGGTTGCTATAAGCTTGAAATGTTGTCGGTCGATTGCACTCTTTTGCCCGTGCACAGTTCCTTTCCCCCCCCCCTGCGTTTGATTTATACCCCCCATAAAAGATCGCCAGAATCTCCTGCAACATTTTCAGGAGGTCGTTTTTTATCAACTTTATCTGCAGCTGAATTCCAAAATATCTATAGGTTTCAATCCTCCCAAGTTCTTTGGAAAATTGTCGTATATCATTTACCCATATATCACAACTGTCTGAATCTTCAAAATATAAACAACCCATTTCAATGTATGCCATTTAACCAAGAAACAAGAAAAACAACCGTTGCAAGGCAGCCTGCCAGTTTTTCTTTGCAATTTCCCAAGAAAACGACTGAATCCCCCCCAAAAACTGTCAAATATTAAAACAGCTTCAGTTGATTTCAAAATGTAGCAGTAAGCCTTTCTTCATGTCTGAACGACATAGGTGTGTGCTTGAAGCTAGAGAGTTCAAATTCTGATTCACTCTCGCTGAGCAAACCAACCATTCAATTGAGATTACTTTGTGTATTGAGAAAAATGTTCTCTCTTGTTGATCCCAGATATTGACGAGTGTGCAGAGGGTTTGGTGAAGTGCCCGTCTGACCAACGCTGCCGCAACACGTACGGCAACTATATGTGCATGTGCAAGGAGGGCTTCGCCTTCCAGCTTGTCAACAGGCGCCTCGTCTGCAAAGGTATAGGTCCAGAGTTGTCGATGGAATTGGTAATGAAACGGTTCGGTATTCCAACTTGCGCATGTCCAAAATGAAACGCGCGCATGCGAGGTCATTCTGCCGCGCCTGCTTGGCTTGCCTTAGTTCTCAGCGCGTGCGGCCCGGGGCGGCCCTTAGCGGACTCATGCGCGTGCTTTGTTCCCGAAAGACCTTGCTTTTAAAAAAGTACCAAACTGACTCAGTAACAACTCACTTTGTTTTTTTTGTCCTCCGTATTCATTACTCATTTAAACATGCATGGCTGGTGCGTCCAACATGGGAACATTCACATGTACCCAGTAACGGTGACATTTACCCGGTACCTTTCCTTGTAAATCAAGCAAGATTTCCTTTTTCAAAAATACACTCTTTTCACTGCATTTTTGTCTTTTGGTCCTAGGTTGAAGACAAATATAGCACAAATAGTTTTCGTTTTTGATCACTGTGCAACTTTAACCCTCAAAGAGCCGGGCTATTTTCGTCCATCTCAGGGGGGGGGGGTTCCCGCTCCCCCAAGAACTCGGCTGTGCCATGCCCAATTTATTTGAAACTTGGTATGCATCTACAGACACTTCTGATCATTAGGCTACATTATTTAACTAGAAGTTTGAATCAATCGGATAGGCCCCTATACGGTTTTGTTATTGTCATTGAAAGTTTTTGTGGCTACATGCGTGCAAGTACGCGTGCATGGAGCAACGCAGTGGAAAAAGTATACGTTTTTTGGTTGACCCGTCTTGGAAAAAATGCGCGCTGCGCGAGAACAGTCTGTTCGATTTTTGCAAAAACGGTGTCAAAATGACCACAAAAGGTTCTTCTAAAACCTCTGAAAGGCTAAAAAATATGCACTGCGGCGAGATCGGAAACAAATGTCGGGGGGGGGGAGATTCTGTCCCCGGCTCTTTTAGGGTTAAGAGACAGACAAAGACCTGTTTAGGCCTACAGAAAATTCACGTTGAATTTTACTATTCTTTACAAGTTTAAACCGTCGTCCTTTTCTCACGTTATACTGCAGTAACTGTGTTGCTAAATCTGTGGTAAGTTACACTCTAGATGTTATGAGAGGACTTCATGTACACCCAGTCTGTTGTGGCCTCTGATAATACCGAGGGTGTTAAATTAACACATCAGTTTTGCAGTGTACTGCTTTGCCATGATTTCACACCTTTGCATTTGTTTTGCCTCTCCGAAATCCTGTCCAACTTTTATTTATTCGTGTAACTCTTATCAGAACGGAATCAGTGTGTGGTGCAGGGCCTGATCTGTGATCCGAATGCGCACTGCGAGGAGACTGGAAGTCTCGCCAAGTGCGTCTGCAACGAAGGCTACGTCGGGGACGGCCAGACATGCAGAGTCGTCGGTAAGTCCCTTTGCTCCACGATCCGGTTTGAGTAAACCCAACCCATTATACCGGTTCTCGTTTTCAGCATTGTTCATCTCATAAGACATCTCCATACGTAAAATCTGTCACTTGATCTAATATGCGTAATCTTTTAATTCAATCCCATTGTATGCTTCATCTTTACTCATTGTTTGAACGCCAGAGGAGTAGAGTCTGTGTCATTTGTCACTATAATTTCGAAATTGATGATTTACTTGTGAAACCTTGCAACAGACCAGGTGTAACATGAATGATTCCACCTCTAGAGATTTCTAAACCAAACTAAAAAGAAAAAAGCTAGGCGCCCTCTGCTGTTTTCAGCCCAGGAAGTGGTAGGCGCTCTCAGTAATTATTTGGTTTTGGTGTCATTTATCTTAGAGCTGTTTCTATGAAACGAAGGCATCCGTATAATGAATAAGTGACTCGTTGGAGTATGAAGTTAACTTTTGTGTGTTCGGTCGAGACTAATATTGGATGTCTTGAGGACACCTTCTGAACATGTTGTGCCTCCCGATATCTGGCAGATTGCAGATGGCGCTCTCCATGTCACAAAAGGATAGCACATAATCCACTTCATTTCTCATTATTTTCTTTTTTTATCCTGATATCCTCCATATACACTTGTACATTAACTCTTCACGATACCCGTAACCCACCTCCGAACTTAGAGCGGCGCTCGTGCGCGGACAGGCCCTGTTTCCCCGGGGTCGTCTGCACCGATATCAGGCTCAACCTAGACGCGATCGACCTCAGCTTGGACGAGCCCATCAAATTGTACCGATGTGGGCCCTGCCCCGTCGGTTACAGAGGGGATGGGGTGCGGTGTACGGGTAAGTCAGGAGAGGAAAGGGGGTAGGGGGCCTTTCGGATGACCTCCGGGTTGCATGTGCCTGCATGACCCTGCATGTTTTTCTTAACTTTTCATGCCTGTCAAAGACCAACCGATCCGCTTATTGCGGAACCAACAGTCTGATGCCAACTTATTTGCAAAACAGAAAGTATGTTCTGGTTTCTGAGTTTCAAACATCAGGTGTGCACGCGGCATACAGTTTATCTAGCATCCTGTCGTTTGGTGGCAGACCTTGTATGAAAATTAAGCAGCTAGACTGTGGGTCTCATCAAATGTCAGCATTAAGCAATGCAATTAACAGCGTCTGGCCGCACTGAGTTTCGTGTACCGCACGGCTACGTGATGACGAACGAGATATACGGGACGATAAATATGAGACCTGGAACTAATCCGAGTCGGAACTCATGAATTAGCCCTAAATTTAGATCGTTGCAGACAACATAGAGGATTAGTGCAATGTCGAAAAAGATATTAAGATTACATTAACATTTATCCGAACGTTTTTCTTTCAGGAAGCACTATGTTAAGCTTATATTCCTCCGTTGTTTCTCCCTAATCCCCACTGTATAAAAAACCTTAAGTTTTTTTTTGGCGCTGCTGTTCTCATGAAGCAATCCATGGTCAAATCCAACTCAATCAACTGTGCAGCTTTCATGAAGCCCAGATATAACAGGATACTTCCTTTTCGAAATTGAATGGTAAATGAAGACAGCCCTCTCGTGAAGATGATTTGATAAATTTGTCAGTGTTGATGGATTGCGGGCTGAAAATGTCATTGTACGGTGAACCACCTGACTGTAAACGGATCCGTTTGTCCCACGTACCTCGCAGTCCCTCTTTTTATGGGAGCCAGCTCAAGTTTGAGGTAATTTTCATCAATGGAAAACGCTGTCCGCTGTTTCTGTAAAAGTTTCAAAATGAGTGTTGGTGCTGGTTACTTTCGAATATTGTTGCCAATGGAAGGAAGGACAAATTTTGAAAAGTCTGCAGATTTTTTTTCTCAAGGATCTGGGGGAAAAACAGAAAAGGATGAAAGAAATTCAGCTGTCAACTGTCACGTGGAAAATGACCCTTTTAAAGCATCTATTAGTACGGATTTTTCAAAATGGCTTGTTCTGCGCCTCATTGTAATTTCCAACCATGTGTTAATGTGACGACTGGACAGATTTGCCTTAAATATTTAGAAATCCATTTTCTGAAAAATCCTGCCTATTTGCTTGACGGACACTGCTTTTCTGTCCTATCAACTTTAACGATCCATCTGTCATCAATTGTGGTACCTTGTGAATTTTGTCACCGGACAGTTATGATGTCTTCCTTACGAGGTAGCTGAGCTATTTATAGACCACACGTTGCGCCACCTGCCGTTCAGTTCCTGTTTCTTGGTTCACAACGCATCTGTCTGTCGGGGGGGGGGTTAGAACTGAAGAAGGGGGAGTGACAGGAAGGAGAAATACATGGGTGGGGATGAGCAGTATTTCAATTTGTGACGGGGACGTGGTTTGCATGAGCTGTCACAGTGGGTTCAGGTTCGTGGGTGCGAAACTAAATTCACTGCAGGGGTCAGAAAATGAAGTAATCATTATCGGGCCTTCCGGCGAGGGGAAGCGATGGTGTACACTTCTGAAACAGTTTTGTCCCATGAAAGATGATGTTGCACTTAGAGGCTTCTCGGAGGTTATCAGAAGTTCGTCAAACTCTAGACAGGAGACGTTGTCGAAATCACGCGTGAAAACACAAATAACAACGGTACAAATATAACAGGACTCGGGGAGAAACTCAAAATGAAATTCAACATTACGTGTTGTGCCTACTGTGTATTAGCAGCAGTCGCATACTTGGACAGAGCAAAATTTATTGCTAGTCTACTGAAGAGGTGGGGCTTGATGCATTCCGCCGCACAACCTTCAACTTTGAGATGATTAAGTTCAGAAGAATCAAGTTATGTAAGAGAAAGGATGAAATTGACTCCAGAGCTTCAGGGTGAGATTATTCCCTTCTCGATTCAATCCTCATGTGTAAACTTGAATTTTATACCAGGCACGAAATGGGACAGAGGGGTACCCCCCAACAAGCCCAATCACTATACACACTCTAGCCTATCGTCACGTAACAACCCCCCCCCCCGATGTCTGAAAAGAATTCCTGAGATACCAGTATAACAATGACCAACACAAAGGTGGGGGTGGGTTCTGTCTGTCCCATAGTGTGCTTCAGTATGTCGAATTTGGGGGAAATTTTATGCGAATCTAATAAGCGATAATGCTTCTAACCACGGTGAGCACCATGTCAGACATGATCGCCACCTGTCTCCTATCGTTTACGGGTTTGCCTGTCATCGCGTTAACAAATGAGGTACTTTGCTTTAGCTTCGCTTTTTATTTTTATGGACAGCCCTTTCACCATTTACTCACTTTGCATCCAGCAGGTAACTTTCGAAAATCCTGATCCCCAGCAAGGGGTGTTTGAAAACCGCAAGGTGTCGTCGGAATTCGTGGGCATAGTTCTCCTACACAATATCGGAAGTTGTCGGCACCTGCAACATGTGCATTTCTGCTTTGTCAAAGAAAGGAAAGAAAGAAAGCTTCACATTCATGCAATCCCTAATGAGCCCAGACAGGAACAAAAGCTAGACGTAATTTTCATAGCGTCCTTGGTAAATTTCACTTAGTCCAACCGTGGTGCAACCTTCGCTGGGCCGGTTTCAATCTCAAGTAAAGCACGGGAGGCTGGCCCGTGCCGCGCGCGGTTGCTTGCCAGTCGTCGATCAAATAAACTATTCGACCCCGCTGACACCAAACATTAAACATCGGCGGAGCTTGGATAGCATGCTTCGGGCCCAGACACCAGCGAAAACAAACATGAAATTTTTGCCATATCCATATTCCCGAACAGTCACATAAATGCACTCGAAATCATTTTCCGATTTGTTTTGTTTTTATTACCAAAATCTTGAGATTTTATTGTATGGTTAATACTGAAAATGAAAACATCAAAAACCGTGTGCCCTTTCTTACAGTGCTTCTTAAAGAGTTTAGAAACAAATTTTGACAGGAATACGGACTATTCACAATACAGTGCGCCGCCAAGAGTTTGCCACAAACAGGCCACTTTTCAAGTTCACTGTCGACAATCTGTGGCGATTAAGCGCAATTCATACGTAAGTTTGGAATATTTCATTGATAGGGGTGTCCTTGCACCACACAAAACCATCATTTTGACTACCTATTACCAATTTTGCAATAAGAAATTTCAATTTTGTTATAAACAGACGTTCGGAAAAAAGTCAACTTTGGGGCGTACACCGCAGTTAGCAATTAATGAGACTTTGCCGACTATTTATCCCACAATACACTGCGAAAAGGCCTCTCCATGACAGCCTCTCAAGTTGATGGAGCACTGCATCGTGAATCGCCCGTATTTCGATATGCTTTTTTTGCTGAAATTTGCCAAGCACCAGTTGCCCTGTATGTTTTTGCTGTGTCTGTATAGTCGCACTTTATACATGTACCATATTCAAACTCCTCTACGAGATAATCTCGAAAGCTTGTCTTCCCTCAAAATTGACCCGCCTTTTCCTTTGTGAAAACGTTGACAAAGTCTGTCCTTGAAATTAGATGTTCTCGTCCCTGCATTGGAAAATCTTGTTACATTTTAATGTTAATAAAATGTGCATGTTCTGAGGGTCATTAAGGCCTACGTGATTTCCTCTTTTTCACGCCCAATAACGCGCATGCTGTCTGGCGCGTTTCCTCCGGGCATGCTTTGCAAGCAACATACATGTACTAGCGTGAATTCCACCGACCAGTCCGTAGACTTTCGGGCAATCGCGTGCCTGACTAACGGTGCGCGGACTTTACGTAATTGATGTGACATTTAACTTCCTCTGATGGAAGGACACCACGATAATCTTTTTACACGACAAAGCAATGACTCGGTGTTCCATGGCTTGTTACGGTTGAGGTTTCTCGTAGGAAAATATTATTTGGAGAATTGATTTTCAATTGCCAAAAAGGAATATTTCTACATCGTAGACTATTAGGAATATTTACCTCATACTTCAAGATGGCAAAGCTTCATCTATAAATTTTGACTTTATCTTTTTAAACCTTATTTGGAAGAGTTTTGGGAATTTTTAGGATTTTGAAATAAAGGTAGGCTATTTGGATCTTTAACCCAGTTTAGAATTCCTCTCTGTTAAATTGGTGCTAACCCTATCCTGTCCTTTAAATTCCCGGGAATTTTTTTTTTTAAGGCAGCAGCACAGGTTTTCGGCAAACACAATTTCAGCGTTTTAGTGTGTCATCGTTAAGCAAGATGCAACTTGAAATAACCCAATGCTATATAAAAAAAATTGGGAGCTACGCCAAGTATCTCGCCCTGAACGCTTATTTGCCTCACGTGGTCTTCATTCCACAATGGAAACCGGTGTTACCAGGAAGAAAGTATTTAGGGAACTTCCTAATCTTTCGCTTTTTGTTTTACGATCAATTAATCAGCCAATTAGTAAGGCTCCTGTATTCTGGCGACGGGATAATCGTGGAGGGTTAGATATGAAACGGCGCCGTGATGCTAGGTGTATATGCTGTGTGCACTGAGATGTTCAGTGTTCTGTGGGCGTTGCCGTATCCCCTTTTTTACGGTTGGTTTTGCACCCAACATGGTTCATTGACCTCGGCGAGGCCGAAGAGTTACCGGTACTTGCATTCTCCCGTTCCAGATATTTCCCGGGAATACTTTCAACAAGCAGTCATGGGCGTCACCAGGATTTTTTTCAGGGGGGGACCATTTCTTCCTCATTTGGTGGGGAATTTATGAGAACTGATAATTTATTATAAACCCATTTTAGGGCAGGGGGCGATATTTTTAAAGCAAATCTGTGACTTTAATCCCATTTCCCCTCTTAGTTCTATTTATTTCGTTTTTTCTAAGTTTTTTACACGTTCCCCATTTTTTCAAGGGGGCAAGTGCCCCCTCTTCCCCTTCCCTCGCGAAGCCCATGCAAGCAGTCTGGTCTGCAGACAATCACGAAATAATAAAATTCTGTGCATGTTTAGTTTAGACTTGCTTTCCCCCAACTTCCTTTACCCCACTGCTTCGGACTCGACAAATCTGCACACTGCTCCTTTAATGAAACTGTCGATAACAGCGATCTCTAAGCAAGTCACTGCGGGCAGACGTGAGACGTTTAACAGATGCTCACTCCTTGACTCCGGACAATTTGTCATCGGTGACATTTTTATGACAAAGTACATGCAATATATATCTTTGCCAATCTCCGTCGCTTCCCCGCATATTGCCAAGAGTGCAGGCAGGGTCTGCCGATAGATGCACCCTCTTTGTGGGGATGCTTTAGTGATGATATTCTGGTGGAAAGAATCTGTAGTGAGTCTTGCACCCGTTTCAGCAAACTTGCCTGGAAGGAAGTGAGGGAATGGGCAGGTATAATTGTGTCAAGCCTGAGGTCCCCACTGTAAGGCTTTTCCCGAAGTGCTTCTGGTTTTCTGACTGATGGAACTCTCAGTCTTGGCCTGTCTTTTTTGGACTTTATTGCAAGTCGTGGTTACCTGGTGAAAAGAGATGTTGACTGTTCATTACCTGAAGGAATAGGATAACGGTCAAAGCCAATGCGAATATTCAAATACAAAGGAAAGCAAGTTTTAGTTTTACGTCTTGGCCTTGCTGCAATGCATATTACTTCGATACAACACGATAATTACACAACTGTTGTCGTTGGATGGTGTAGAGTCGCAACATTTTCACTGTTTCGGCCGTATACGCGTAACGTGCCGGTATTTCATAATATGCCATCGTAACTTCATATTTTGGTAAAAGCAGATGAGTATTGTTAAACCACATACTGTAGATAAGACAGGGCAATCTTGACTTATTCCCAGCCCATGATTGACCCAATAGAAGTTCCTGAGATGTCTATCAATACGCATCCTCGTTTGATGATCTGACCCCCCCCCGTCAGGCAATCCGTTTCAGACCCAAGGGAACGCAAGCTGCGTGGCCGAGCCGTGCACGAGGTGTCCGATTAGTCACCGCCACAGTTTGGTTTCCTCATGACGACAGGTCATCCTGGGTCTTCCGGTCAATCCTACCCTATGACAACGATCCATGAATTTCCAAGGGTTGTACACTGCCATGATCTAGCCATCAATTCCTGTCACTCCCAGTTTATCTTCCTCAACACGAAGAACCCCTGATGCACATCGAATGCATGTCGGTTACCGTGACATCGCTTCATCCAGGAGGTCACGGGTCACTGACTGGCTAGTGCGTCCGTGCTCTACTTGGCCATGACAAAACAGTTACCCTTGATAATCATCACATCAACAACTGACCTTTCTCTGTTTACTTCAGGGTCAACGATTTCCGGTTCCGGTCAGGTCATAGTGGGCGGTTTCCATGGCTCTAAGCCAACCTGAAATGTATCCTGGAGTTCTGGTACCCAAAACTTGAAGGTGTTAAGAGACATGGGCGCCGACAAGGCGCCAGACGTTGGAAGAGACTGAAGGTGTTGAATTTGCCAAATGTAGTCTTGAAACTTGAAATGTGACTACATCTAAATTTAGAAACAAAGCCTTAGTAATGCATGATAGATTCGGTGGCCGGTTTTCTCGTATAATTTCTGACAAACCATCTGTTTCCTAAATAATGCTCAGACGGGATGTACTGCAAAACTGCGGTGGGCAAAATGTCAAGTATTCGTTTCGTGTCTTTAATAAAACACGCGGAGCTTAAGCGTCTGGAAGGTTGACGCTGTTTCAATTCTTGGCCTAACGCATGCTCTGGCGAGTTTGGAACCGAGTCAGCGGCTGCAGAAGATGTGCATGTCTGCTGAAGATGTCTGCATGATCATGCATGTTAAATTGAGGACAGCAAGCTGTCACGTGGCCAGTGGTCGTTTCTGAGCCATTCATCTGTATCTGCAGCTTGCTAGTTCAGTTAGCACGGCTAGGTTAGACATCCTTGACGTTGATTTTCATTTTTTCCCATCACCTGTTGTCATTTCAACGGCTATAAATGTGGGTCTATGGTTACATTTGCGTTTGGAATACTGTAAGAGAGTAGCTAAACATGATGCTTTCGTTGGAAGACAGAACAACCGTTTAAGTATTGCTGCATGAACTTGCACGAACGGATAATAGGGCAATGATGATGGAAATAGAAGAGTATAAATGTAGACTTGTAATTGTCTCTTGACTCCTTGGGTCCCGCAGCAGAGCAGAGCTGTATGTAGAGAGAGTCTAGTAGCGTCAACTTCAGACTTTGGAACCGAAATGGCTGTTAATAGGTGCAATGCAGCATGCAGCGATTGCGGGCTAATTGCCACGATGTGGTGACGCATAATTCGCCATTGTGGTTCGAACTGTTGTTATATTCAAGTCACAGCTCTCTCTAGAAACTGCTCTGCGGTGGACTAGGCTCCGGCTGCCCTCATCGGCAAAGGGGCATAGAAGCTGATGCTTGCACCTGTGCACCTTCATAAGTTTTCACTCCCCTCCCCTTAAGCACCAGAGCGTGAAAGCATCATACGCATGTTTCCTTGCTTGTGGGGTGTCTTCAGATAATTGTTGCAGTGGGCGTTGGTCACAGCGAGCATGCCCGTCGCTCAAGGGGACACTAGGCATGAGGTACTGAAAGCGAAAAGTACGGTATACATGTAGTTAGTACCCGAGCTGCTTCAGACCAAATCACAAACGCTGAAAGCTTATTTTTTTCCAATTTTAGAATTCATCGTAATTTTCTTTTTCCGCAATCAAATATCACACAGACAGAAGTTGCCTATCAAACACACCTCACCAAATCTGTGGGCTTACTAGAAAAGCTTTGGAAGGGAAACTTGATTTGGGTGCGGCGAGCAGTGAGGAACCAAACAAAGAAAATCATGACTTAGATTGTAGTTAATATCGCTGCCGCTCTCGCGATTACTAACGGGACCTGGAGTTGCTACTGCCAATGTCATACTGATTCAAATATGTATACTTTACTCCTCGGACAAATTTATCGTTGCGGTAATTGCTAATGACGCACATTTCTTACCAAAAAAAATCCACTTTCTTACAGATGCCAACGAGTGCGAGACTGGTGAGTTCGAATGCCACGCGGACGCCCGTTGCATCAACACACCGGGCTCCTACGTATGCCAGTGCAACGAAGGATTCGTCGGTGACGGCAAGATTTGTGCTCCACTCGGTAAGAAGGACAAACGGATAAAGGGAGAGAAAGAGAGCAGGATGACCTGATGTAAAAGAGAAGACTTTATACACACAGGCGATTACAGCATGTGGAAGTCTACATGTTGTGTGCATGCTGTTGGTTTTCCCAGAAGCCAGGCATCTTTTTTTCCAATTACCACTGAATGCTGATCAAAACTTCCTTTTGAATGTACATGTTTTTTTACGAAATAGTTACATTGTCCTGTGGATAAACGAGCCTGATGTCTGAACGAGTTGGTCGGAAGCTCGAATTGAATGCTACTTAACTTTTAAAGTTTTACCCTTGGGGCACTGCAAAAACACTGGACTAGTTTAAAGGGCAGTGCATAGCTTGCTTGAGGAGGAAAAGCAGCAGCGCGATCGTAAGTGGGCACGATGTTGCATGCGTTCAACTTCGTCCCCAGCCTGCTCCACTTTCCTTTTCGAATATGTGTTTTTTTATTTTCTTTCGGCAGTTCTGTGATCGCCTTCCCCTCCAGGGGAGTTGTCCGTGCCCCTTAATGCCCTTTTTGAAGTCTTTAAATGGACACAACGTATACATCAAGGCAGCAGTTTAAATAAAATGCGTCCACCCCCCACAAATTTCACCCCAGTTACGCCAGTGTCGCTAACTGTACATGTATACATTGATAAAAGACTACGTTTGTACATGTTTGCATTGGCATGTTTTTGCTGGGCATCGTGGTCATTTGGTGTTGTGTTACTCTTCACACACAGACCAGACAACATGCTTTGACGGTCCGTGTTTCCCGGGAGTTCGATGCTTCGACATTCCCATTCCTAGCAATCTCGACATCAGCACGGTGACTATCATCAAGCGCTACCGCTGTGGGGACTGCCCACCTGGATACGAGGGTGATGGCGAGACATGCGCAGGTACGTGATAGCGTCATTTCACGATTTGAATAACTTGGAGGAAATACGTTTCTTTCAGTTTATCTATTATTCATCATCGTCGACAGTAATTTTGCTCCTAAACGTTTTTCTGGCATTCACTTTATTGCTAAGAGGCGATCTGTGCATGGCCTTAAAAACACTTCTGCGTATATACGGGAGGGTATCACGCCCACAGTGGCCTCATAGGCCATTATAACAGGAGAGTCATACTCGCTATAGTTTCACGTACACCTTCTGCAGTTTCATTTTTTAAACCTGGCTCGCGCCATTATGTTAAGGGCCGTCCTGAGTGTCTAAAGCAAAAACACTCTTCGTTGTTTGAAAATAATCAGCTCAATTTAACAATTACTAATGACAGACTGTTTGATACTATCAACGAATTACCAAGCATACTCCTTCAAGCAAAAGCAGAGGGGAAGTACTTTGGGATTTTCATTCTTGCAGAACTAAAGCGAGGCTCATACGGCGAGGCTTATAGCTTCAGTAAGAATGTAATCAGCACCTTGTATATTTCCTCCTCATCTTTAAACAGACAGAAACGAATGCGAGGAAGGGACGTTCCTCTGTCACCCTGACGGGGCTTGTGTCAACACCGAAGGCAGCTATAGGTGCGAATGCAAAGAGGGCTTTGCCGGTGACGGGCGAGTCTGCATTCCTCTGGGTAAGGACAACACACTCATCTCTCTCGCTCTCTTTCCCAATCAATCAGTAAGCAGCCGCGGTATTCCCCCGGACGATTAATTTTTTAATAGGTTCTATTTCGGGTCGTTCCAAGCATCTCTGAGATTGTCTGTGGCATTTTGTGTTATCAAAACAAGCCGATTACGAGTGAAGAGCTTACGGGAGACCGTCTGGGGAGCTCGTTAGTCCGTTTTGGAGTTGACATTACCCGCACCTCCACTGAGCAGACATCAGGTTTATTTGACCACTGTCTCATTTCTCAGGAATCGTTAGTTCAGACAAGTGAGAACAGGATAGGTTTTTTTTATCCAGACAAGGTGAAAGATAACGATGATTTAAGACACAGAGAGATCCTGCTTCAGGCACATTGTGTGAGTTTTCCGGATTCGTTCCTTCCTTAAATGTCGAATCGTGCCGGTTATTTTTTTTTAGTAATAAATGGGTCTATGACTGTGTTGTTCCGTCTATGAGCCTTGATTGTAAAATGCCACGACCCTTGATAAGGCTCACGAGCAGTGCTCGATTGCTTAACTTATCTGGCCTGTTACTTAAGCATGTCCACGTTTCCTGTTATTTGCGTCCTAGACTGTGTCGTTGCGAAATAATTAGTTGATTCAATGTGATTATGGCATAAACTCCTCGGCACAAACATATTTACGAAAGCACAGCTAAAACCTCTGTGGCTCCAATATAATTGCACGCACTCCAGAGCCGACACGACAAAGTATGAACACGAGCGTAGTCTATCACGTGGCTGGGAACTCTTTTTAAGGTGCGCGCCTTTTTTTAAGTGGTTGCCTACTTAATCTCTCCGTGTTAAACCATGATGCCACGTCAGGATCCCAGTCATGATAAGAATAATTGACCAATCTTAAACTTTGAATGAAACGCAAGAAGTCAAATACATGTACAACTGGCCAAAAATAAATGGCATGCCTCCCCCCCCCCAGGTTAGGGCCAATCCTTTGGGGTTGATGCTCGACTTTTGTCCGTCACTCGATCCTCCAACCGAGAGACTGTTGGTCAGCGTATATGAATTTAGCCAAGATTATCGGGAAGTGCCGAAGGGTCTTGTTCCAGTAATTGATGCTGCCAAAATGAAGGCGTTGTCGTGCGTCAGCGGTTCCTGACTGGAGGGTGGGTGGGTAAGGCTTACACCAGACCCCCTCCATCAACCCCACCCCCAGCATACAAGGGGCAGAACCCGCCTCTGGGTGCCAAGCGGTATCCGCGCAGGTTTAAAGTGGAAGCTAGTCATCAACACGCGGACCCAAGCCGTGACTGGACCCGCACGTCAACGCTGGTCAGCCGCAGGGAAATTTTAACCCCATCAAGTTTCTCTGCAACCTTTCGGGATTATTGACCCTTATGAACACATTTAACTTTGTTACAATACCGAAAAATATCAAGCGATTATAATCCAGTTTTATTCTGTGTAAATAAAACAGTCAATAAAGCAAAAGTCAATAAATCAAAGAGCTACTGATGCAATTCTTTAATCAGTAATCAAAATTAACATTGCCGACTTGGAAACCCTTTATTTTCCTCCATTGGGGAGTTCTGGGCTGTCTACATTCCGGAGGGATGTTGGTCAATATTAAGAATGGCTCGTGACAGACACAAGTAATTAAAATCTGTGAGTATTCGAAGAATAAGTGGGTGTGCGGTGATCACATGCATAAGCTGCTAATGCTAGCCCAAGGTTAGACAGCTTTAGTACACTTGTTAGTTGGGCCTTTGCTTAATAAGTTGTGGGAACAGTATGATTCTTCTGTGTGCGCAATAAACGTCAAAGGGTTGTGATTCACGCCTTTAGGATAGTCCATCCTGTCATTATTTAGGCCTTTGATGATCATGATACAAGATCGCAGGTGCACTTTCTGCAAAACTCCAAATCCGAAGGATAAAAGGAACAGTTCTAGAGTAGTCTGTTGTCAAGCCTGGCATAATGAGGGGCACAAATACCGTCCCGTTCAGTAATTCTACTCTCCATATTCCGGAAGCAAACAAATTCTGCAGTTTAGGTTAATGCCTGTGTTTACTGCGCACGTGCACTAGTTCGTGGTATGACTGCACTTTGCAGTTTCTATTTCTACTGATTAACTTGCTTTCGTGGCATGTAGCTTCATCGTGGGAAACAGCAATTAAGACACAGTGACTTGCTAATATACAACAGATAATCTGTATTGCGGATACACCTGTGTTTGACATCAATTTGAGTTTAATACCAAGTAAACATACTTAATGGGAAAGAAGCATATCACATGTCTCCATACCACAATGGTCGTAAAGGTGACATTTAATTCTGAGTGTCTGCGTTGGAATTGTTGTTAATGCCACAAAAGAAATATTCGATATCCTGAAAGAAATCAAACAAGACTTTGTTGGAAAACCAGAAATAATAACATCTTCCATTTCGGGACTCTTTAAACCATGGAGTTATTATACACAAGGAGTAAGTACATACAGAGATCGAAAGGGTCAATGATGACCACCGCCATCACTGCACGTGCTGCAAGGACAAAACAAATTACGCGCAACTTGCGGGCCAAGGAATGCTCGGAGTTGTTTGCAAAGGTTGGTGGGTACCGCGCATGCGTGTCCGTAACACTTCCGCATGTTCAACATGGCTGCCTTGAGACGGAAACCACCGTCATCGGAGACTTAAGTTTCGATAATTTTAGTGATTGTCCTGATATTGTGATGACAATGAAAGTCTGGTTACGTCTTTACATCCCCCAAACCTCTCTCTTAACAGTAAACAGAATTACCGTACTAAATGTCATTACTGACTTTAAAAACGTCCTACTTTTTGCCAAATAACCACCGCCGATTCAAAATTTTCCAACCCATCTGCGGGGATCACTCGTTGATTCCTGAGGACTACAGAAGAGAACTACGCATCTTCTTTGTGCATCATTTTTACCATTTATCTACTCCAGTATGCCGTAGCGAAACACAGGGAGTATGTGGGTTACTAGCTACCTGGCGGTGGCGATCATTGTATACAGAGAATGTCTAAGGGTCTTGAACACTGGGGCCGGTAGCCGCGCCTTGCCTATGTAGCCGACCAGAGCAATTAATCGGATAACGGTCTCTGGGGGCTTCGTTCTAACTCCTTGTGTTTAAAAACTCAATGTGGGTCCTTTTTCTCGATTTAGATAATCGCACATGCGCAGACGGGCCCTGCTTCCCAGGAGTCGTGTGCGAAGATGTTCCGCTGCAGCGAATTCTCAACTCGCGGAACTGGAGACAGTTGGATATCATCAAGCTGTTTAGATGCGGACCCTGCCCAAGAGGCTTCCAAGGAGACGGGGAGATATGTCGGGGTATGGTATTCACTTCAGGGATAAAGATTTGCAATGGAACATGGCACAGGTGGAGTGAAGGGTTCCATGCGTATAAAGAACCTTATTTAAGAATAAGGCCTTACTCGAAGAACTAATTTGGATGACTTGTAAGAATTGGATTTTGGCCCACTTTCACCCAAAATTGAACTCAATATCGAAGACTACCTGGGTTTATTAATTTTGGTGACTTTAGTCTAGTAAAGGGAATCCGTATTGGCCAGCTTGTGGTAGGAGGAATGAGAAGAAGTCGTGGCCTATAAAGCAGGAAGGGACAATCACCAACCGCCTCGTGACACATTCGTTCGCCCCCAAGGGCCGATTATACACACTTCCTTGGACTTTGAAATCCTGAGAATCAAAAGACAACATGGTTAGGTCTCTGGGGGTGGGGGGGTGACCAGTCACCGATATGCTTCGACGGTGCGGCCAACTCTGTCGCCAGTCACCACAATTAGGCCTTATTTTAAACCAGTAAGTTCGACTTGCATTAAATATAGAAGTAAAGGATGAACTTGAACTGCGGAAATAGAACAGTGGCTGTGTATTAGAAGCTAGAGAGTTGTTGTTGTTGTTTTGTTTTATGGCACTGTCAGCTACTCAGGCTATTTGCACCAATATCTATACGTTTATTCGTAATCTTTTTTTAGCTTCGTATTACGGAGTTAGCGAGAAGGTCCAGTTTTAGAGGCAGGAGGAAACCGGAGTACCCGGAGAAAACCTGCGAGAGCGAGTATGGACTGGAAACCAAATGCACTTAATCCTGGGCCAAGCCGGGACTCGAACCCGGGTCTCATTGGTGCAAAGCGAGGAAAGAACAACTACGCTAACCCGCTCCCCCCAAGCTAGAGGGTGTGACTTTAAGACCCACTTAAAACGCTTACCGTTGCCTTTCTATTGTGGGCGAAGTGGTATCACCTCAGCTGCCAAATAGTTGAATTTGTAGTTTTGGAGAAGAAAATAATAAACATGTAGTCAACTAGAACTCTCAGTTGTCTGGACAGGGAAAAATATCATTTTTTAATTGAATGTGTAACAGGTTCCGAAGTTGTATGGGTGCACAAGCTAACCTCATTGCGCAGAGTCACGTGGGAATGAATCTCTTTTTTGATGACGTTCGCACAGTGTTTCATTTGAGTACCCGTTTGTCTTTATTCGCAAAACCGTAGATATCGATGAATGTGCTCGAGGAATCAACGCGTGTCACAGAGACGCCACGTGCGTGAACATACCGGGGAGCTACCGTTGCGAGTGTAATCCAGGTTTTGCAGGGGACGGAAACCTCTGTGTACCTGTTGGTAAGTACGGAAAATTTAGTTTGCGCTGAATAAACAGACTTTCACGAGTACTAGAGTACTAGAGCTGCATTTGTGCCCACGACCATTGGAATACGGTAACTCAAGGGTGGTTAAATAGCACAGTGTGAAAGTGCACTTAATTAAACATAAACCGAATGCCAGAGGTCCAAATCCAAGCACTGATTCTCCCTTTGCCTTTTCATGACGTTCATCGCAGCTATTAATGCTCTTGGATTGGCCCAATTCATCAGCGGATCCGGTATGGTCAACTGGGGCCCGCCAAAAAAGGAGTTACCAAGAAGAGAAAAAATAATGAGAAATAAGTGTGAAAAGCCCCATAATGCAATCTCACTGAAGGCCATAAAACGTTATATACAAACATTCCGATTTTTGTGTTCCCCCAAAACAAGTTTGGCCTAATTGCTCCTGATCCGCCCTTTGTCCGGGCTGCCTCTTCAAATGAATTTCTATAAACACAAGAGAGTACCGAAGTGAATACGTCACGCGCACAATTAGAGTGTAAAAGGCATGATCGTGTGAACCAGCGCGTGAACCAACACGCGCGCGTACTCCATTCGTTTGCACTGCACTTTCTGGTTCACAGTGACATCACACTTCGGTACTCTATGAGGGTTCCCGAGCCAGGTCAATCTCGGTTTCAAGGCGTTCCACAAGTACAGCTGTCCAAATTTCCAGAAACGGTGACTATTTGAGAATGGGTGCTGTCGCTTTAGATCCCACAACATGCGCCGACCTGCCTTGCTTCAACGGCCGAGTGGCATGTCGGGACCTGGTGCTGGAGGATATCCTGCGGACCACCGACCTCGCCAACACGGCCATCATTAAACTGTTCGAGTGTGGACCGTGTCCAGACGGCTACTTCGGTAATGGCGAAATATGTCAAGGTATGTAAAAACAGGATGTATCAGCCAGGCAGGGCACAATTTCATGAGAAGTATAAAATGGATACGTTTTGAAATTACTTACTGTCTTTCAAGTATCGCAATGAAATATAGAATTGTCATTAATATTCTCGCTTGATTTCCCAAAACAGCGGCGTGGGTTAAGTTTAAATTTGCTAAAAATCATTTACTGATGTAAGTCCCCTACTTTTCCCTGTTTCCCTTGCATGTTTTGCGTGATTAAATTCAAGTATTTCTTATCTTATGATTTGCAGACATAAATGAGTGCAGCCTGAATCTATTTGATTGCCATCAAAATGCGACTTGTGTCAACACTGAGGGCAGCTATGAATGTTTGTGCGATCCTGGCTACGTGGGCGATGGCAAGCGATGCAGAGAGATAGGTAGGTTATTAAAGTAGAAATGATCGAAGTCAAAATCGAGGTCATTAGGGATAAACACACTTTTTATTCCTATCGAAAAAAAATTTTCTGTCTGTTTTTGCTGATGAGCCAACACGTCTTTCTGTACCTCCCCCATTCTTGAAAGATTTGACAATTTCCAGAAATGAATCTTGTGTCTTTGTTGGTGAACTTGAGTGTCCGTCAATGAGAAGAATACATGAAATTGAATGTCAGGAAAGTTTCATGAAATGGTCTAACGGTTGCTCAAAGTTGAAAGGTAAAGTTCACGGATACTGACCACTGTTTGGATTGTTTCTCTCTGTGCTCGTAGACCCAACGACCTGCCGGGACAACCCCTGCTTCCAGGGAGTGCTTTGCATCGACTTACCGCTGGACGTCGACCGCCTAGACCTGGACAGCACTGAGGTTGTCCGGCTCTACATCTGTGGCAACTGTCCGCCTGGTTACCGAGGAGATGGCGAAATCTGCATCGGTAAGAGGTTGAAACTGGCAGGGGGAAGTCGGGACCGAGTGCCACTTGGGAGGGCCAAAATACTTCTCCAAGTTCCCTTCCCTAAAGTTTGAATTGAATGCATTGCGAAAGCTGTCTTTATCATAGGTACTGCAAACGGCATGTTATAATGAATGTCATATCAAGAGCACTTTGTGTTTGAACAAATTAGAATTTACCTCCAGTTTGTCCCCATTTTACCGGGGATAAATAGTTTCGAAATGGACTTAATTGTCGAAAGTTACTGCATGACTTCCACTTTTTGTTTTCAATGGCAGATATTGACGAATGTGCAGAGGGCCTGTTCAGTTGCTCCGAGAACGCCACTTGCCGCAACGTGCCAGGAACGTACGACTGCGTGTGTAATGAGGGATTCTTTGGTGACGGGCAAACTTGCATACCACTCGGTAAGGGTGAAGATCAATACAGGTGGATTCTTGAAGGTCACGCCCTTTGAATGAGACACGTTTAAGTCGTAGCCACGATGGAAATGTAGCTGTTGTGTAGGGGTTCGCCCTGGTGTTCCCAGCCGTTTTTGTAGTGAGCATGATGCGCATTTCGGTTTCAATAATTTTGTCTGGCAGAAAGGCGCAATTCAACATGACCGAAATCATGTCATTGCGCATCAACCCTCAGAGTCTTTCTTAAGTGTTCGCACCGACAGCAATTTACCTCAACCTTCACTACTGTCAGTCCTCCTTGGCTAAGAATATGGACAGGAGAGGACAAAGACCGCTCTGCTGAGAGCTGATTTTTTTCACATCTATCCTCTGGCAGCAATTTTTCTAATCTTTCTAATTTAATTTCATTTATTCTGGAAACCATATATGATCTTTTGACAGATCCGCGCACCTGTGCGGACAGCCCGTGTTTCGAAGGGGTAGAATGCACCGACGTGGACCCCAACACGTTGGACTGGCGATCGCTGCCGATCATCATACTCTTTGCCTGCGGTGACTGCCCCGAGGGCTTCATTGGCGACGGGGAAACATGCAAGAGTAAGTTTTCTTCTCATCTGAGAAAAATGGGGGAAAAGGGGAAAATACGATGGTATTAGTAAGCGAATGGACGTCATTGCTGCGTTAACACCACACTCGGCAAATGTTGAAGTCCTATCTTTATTCTTGTCGAAGTATTAAACTCTTACAATTTTGAGAGCGATGGACGGTCGATCATGCTGACCGTCGCTTTGTAACACAAGTGCGCAAGCAAAATACAGATCATTCGAAAGGTTTTTGCGAAATCCCATGGTAGATAACAGGTTTATTTGGCCTTTGTTGCAAATATCGCTGCCTTTATAGTCTATCATTCTATGTCCCTCACTGTTACGTATTTATGGAAAAAAAACTATTAATGACAAGCAATAATCGAACCCTGAACCCAATGCCGAAAGACAAACTACAGGCCCTGTTCGTTTCACACGGATCTGGATCTCGAACAGTGATCCTAACGCTGGTTCGCACCATCCACTTTGCAGGTTTTCGTGTCCGTAAACCAACGACGGTTCAATGATCGTGATCCGAATCCTTGTGAAACAAACACGGCCAAAGACTGGTGGAACCATCCACAGTTCGAGTGACATTGGTCGAGCTACCGTTTAGTTTGCGCTCAAATTTGTCATGTTGTGGCGACCAACTGACCCCCATCAATAATAGCTGCCCGTTTACCGCTATCCCACAATTCCCTCAACGTTATATTTTCGCCTTGGCGAGAGAGACAGTTGACGTCAGCTTTAATTAATTAAATTATTAATATAAACTGACATCGGTTTGTTATAATTAATTGACGGTCTACACATGAAAAACGGCAGAATTGTTTCCTTATGCCAGGCTAAATTTGTGGTTTCGAGTGTTGCTTGTATATACAAGGCCGACTATACCATTTATTACTAATGTTTCTGGCCGTACAGAATACTGAAACATGTGGAACACTTTCAAACAGTTTGATTCCTGTCCAACCGAAGAAGTATTTGTTACAGAGTGTCATATTTAACAAGTCTTTTCTTTTCCTTGTCAGAACTACCCCCTAAAATCATTGTTCCCGATAACGTCAACTTGACCGTGGTTGTGACCGACGCTATTGGCGAGAAAAACCCACTTGTGTCAGGGGCACAAGTCAAGGCTTTCGTTACGGACGAGAAGACCGGAACAAGAGAGTACGCTGCAGCAACCACCGCCTTCAACGGCATCGCTAAGATCGCGGTGCCCCACAACAGGTCCATATTGATCGGTGTAGAACATGATGACTTCCTGTCCAAATCGATGTCCTTTAAGGCCCATTTCACCCCTCGGGAGATTGATCCAAGTGAGTGCATTCCATGTTTCTTTCCGTAATACTCAAATGTTCATTTTTACGGCTGGGTCGTTCACGAAATCCTCACACATTACATGCATTTCGTATGTCATCGCTCTGCATTCAATCCCCCTTGTCTTTCGTACATACTTGTACACAAATTTGTGTGAATATATGACGCACTACACTCTAGAAAACTCCCGGGTCAGATTGACCCAGAATTGGGTCCATTCAGCGTGACCCTTTCCGGGTCAAATTATGACCCAGAAAGGGTCAAATACGAACTGAAAGGTGGTCATTGTTTTACCCAGAAAAGGGTCACGCAGAGTGGGCTCAATTCTGGGTCAATCTGACCCGAAAAAAATTAGAGTGTATCCCGGCGAAATATCTCATTTTGACACAACCTGATTAAATATCTCTTTGATATTTTAAATTTTTTATTGATTTGATACAGTTCTTTATATTCCCAGATGCATATTTTTAAAAAAATGACTGTGTTTTGTTCAGACGTCACAGAGAACGTGCTGACAGTGGAGATGTACGCTTTCAACGAGCTGACTGAATTCCTGTGGAGACCAAGGACAAGCAGAGCTCTGGAATTCGGGGACTTGCTGAGATTGGAGATTCCCAAAAGTAGTCACAACTCCCCTTTCCTTCGTCATTTCTCATCAGACATTTAGAATAGAAAAGAGGATCGCCTAATTATTCAGAAAATGCAACTTGATATTCCTTTGCCACATGATTGTAACCCCCTATTTTCCCCTTCAGGAAGGGAAATCTTGGTAAATAGTTGTCGGCGACCCTTGTTTGATATCGAACAACGCTGTAATCCGCTGTAGGCCGATGGATTCCTTGCGGTACCTGTGTAGCCGTAAAAAAAGACATCATAGGCCTATTAATTTCTGTTCAAGAACTGAGGCACATTCAGAAAAATCACTGCATTTTTTTATGGCTGTTTCACCGGGAAGCGATACTTGTGTTTTTGTAACAGATGGTCTGCAGGTTGCCAATGGAGCACGGGTAACGATCGAGTGTCGTCCTCTTAACATAACGCTCATAAAGACGCCGGCAGAAGGACCCGAATTGGTAGCTGGAGTGTTCAACGAAAAAACAGGTTTGTAAAAACCCATGAATTATTTAATCCGGAGAATTTAAAATCCGAAATCCTGGCGGGAAATACATTTGATCCTTTCCGTCATTTTGATCAACAGTCGTCGCCTTCTTGAAGGATTGTAATTTGATTGGTTCCTTGTAGCTTGCGAATTTTTTTTTGAAATTAACAAAAGACAGAGTTTTGTGAGCCAAAGGCTGCCGTTTCGTTGGAGTCACGTTTCCACGATCCAAAAGTCCATTCCACACTTTAAGCGAATATCGTTGCCAGTTTGACGCTTACAGTTGCAGAAAGGGTCGCCCCAGATGTGATTCGCTTAACCTACGACGGTATTTCCATTTGTAGCGTTACCATTCGCACATGGGCCGCGTTCACTCGTGCAAAATGTATCCTATGCCAGCAATCCTTTACCAGTGAATGCGAACGGGGCATGCCAGTACCGGTGTACGCAGTGCATCTTCTAAGCCATATTCACGTGAAAGCGAGGTCAACTTTTCATTTTGGGAACAGGAGAGTAAAAATGAAAGCAGAGAAATAAAAGCTGATCATTTATTAATGTCCATTTACGCTGATGAGTAATTAGAAATTGTTCATTGCTTGAAAAACATTGGAAGAAACGAAAGGCTTGGAGCTTAACTAGTATGACACCACCCTATTGTATTAACAGATAATACTGAACATGATGTAGAGAACGCTGTCAAAAATGGCTTCCCACGAAAGGGTCCATTGAACATGTCCCAAGCTCTTGTTTGAACTATAAACTGGCGCTACTGTACGGATGCATGCATCTAATATTGAACACTAGCGATAATGCGGCTGAGCTTTCTGTGGTCTTTATTCTGGGGATTCTCAACATTTCCTTCGTCACTGAAAAGAAAGTAAAATGAAATACCAAATCCTCATCAAATGGTGTTCAACTGCAGGTGAGGTTGAACTGACTGGCTTGGAGGTATTTAGCATGACCGAGCTGAGGTGTTCGGTGGCGCCCCGACGTGGAGGAAGCAGACGGACCCCTAGGACTCTGGCGCCGTACACTATCTCCATGCCGGTCAATGACTTGGCCGAAAATCCCGAAATCCCCATGCAAGCATGGCGCTACAACCAACAAAAGGGTGAGCTTTATGTTTGATCAGAAATTGTCCAAATCTGCTTTTAAACCACAAGCAATACCGGTACCCATTCTATGAAATGAACATCTCCCCGACGCAAAATGTACATTTTGTGAAATGTTTGTTTGCAGTACCCGTGCCTCATCTTAAGAAAGCAGCCAACTGACCCCAGCAAGCACACAGCCTGTGTTTATCATATTTTAGTGAAGGAAAAACATTCCGTTTGAAAATTTACTCCTCGGGGCACAACTAACATCTTCCAAAACCTTCCAAATTAAAAGTCCCGCCATTACGCGTGTAATATTGCGAAATTTATAAAGCCGGGAACGTGATTATGCTGTGCATTTAATGGAAACAATTGCATAAAATTGGAGGGGATTTTGTTCAAAAAAGTTTTGAGGCAGTGTCTGATCGTTATGTACAAAATTTTTAGATATAGCTTTAGCCAGATTTATCCCATCTCCAAGAAATTTTGCTTTTTCAATTTGTTTCTTTTGTAAGTTGGGGATCGTTTTGTTTTCAATTTCCATTTGCTTCTTTCAAAGGCGGGTTTAAACGATGTGTTATCAGCCCATTCCATTTCCCCCCAGCAACGCCTGTGCCTCATCTTGTCACTTCCCATGACTGCCTTTAATACAGGTTACTGGGTCGCAGCGGGTGATGTAACCATGGTCGGTGTTACCGCGGAAGGCACAGACACCGAAGCGCCCACCGTTGTGAATCGAGGTGACATAGCAGCGGCCGAGGCCGAGGTCGACACCGGCTTCCGACTCATGTGGCAATTCAATGCCAGGAACTTCACCTATGCCTGGTGGGCCTTCGGCAGGGCATGGCCGGCCACCAGCTGCGTCACAGTTAAGGCCTGCTACGACGTCGACTGCCGGTTCCCCGTAGAGAAAGCGCTTATCGAGTTAGCTCCTATTCATTTGTGATTAGACAAACGCTCGTGAATAATCCACTAAAGAATGGTCAAGTGGTCAGGACGTCTGCTCTTGCAGGCAGAAGGTCGTGGGTTCGACTGTCACTCGAGGAAGCTTGTGAATAGAGTATATGGTGTTAGGTGCATCTAACAACTTCCAGACGTAGTAATCCATCAAAAAATATAGATTGTCTACATTTATATTAGATTCTTGCACGCTTACTTGGGCATTGTACTTCTGCTTTATAGTACAGAACATGTATTACCATCCACAGCGTGCCGTATTCATTTTTGTAGTTAAGCTTTTGCTATTTAAGATTTTGATACGCCTGCCTTTGTTTAACATTCTGATTCGATGTTACCGCTGTATTTTAACTCGGAGGTCCTGTCCCGATTTCAGTACCAGTGCATGTACGCTGTACTGAAAGCATTAAATTGATCTCCAACAAAAGGTTTCATGAAATTGCTCAGTCGTTTGTTATTCGATCACTAACCCGTCGGGTCTGTCAACTTTTTCGTTCTCAGACTGTACGGTATCGACTTCCGTTATACGGCCTCCCGCTACACCGGCCCAGACGGCACTGTGTGCATGCCGTACAAGACGGGCGGCCGCGTGCTTATCAGAGCCCCGTGCATCGACAAGGAGCAAGAGGTGGCACTTGCGGACTTCATGCCTCCGTCCGATTGTAGCCTTGCCGGCAACCAGACTGTCCTAACACGGAAAGGAGACGGCCCTGTGGGTGTTTGCGCTAACGCCACCATCTTGTTTCCCTGTAAGTCATCTTGACTGGGTCATCGGTGTTTTTACGGATTCGTTGAGCTCTCTGTTGGTATCAAAACTCTGTGAAGAACTTATTTCTAAAATTAACAGGTTTCTTGTTACTACCTCTTACGATCCCGCCCTTTTACGGCTGCCTGGAGTCAGTTTTGATGGCATTCATGTACGTAAAACTCCACTAAACCTGAGTTGATGCAGGGAGAAAATAAAGTTTCAGCCTACCGATGCATTGGTCTTATTCTATAATTCTTTATACTTGTTTAAAATAAATCGTTGGTATATTTCATGTGGATTTTGCCTGCATCCACTGAACGTTGTGGATATTGCGGGAGAAACTTACGAGTGTGACTGACTTTCATGTATTTTTTTCCTTTCAGATGAATCACAGGTGTCGTGCGGTGACCCCGGTGATGATGTGGATGGAGCAAAAAGGTTTGGCAACGATTTCACGCACGGAAACGAGGTATTAAGGAATCAGATATTTAAAAGCAAACTATCATTGTAGTCCTTTGGAAAAAGACACGAGTAGTGTCAATTTTAAACAAGTACGACTGTTGTCCATTTTGAAAAGGCGTTAGTTTTCTAAACTTACCCAACGTCGCATTTAGAAACCTAAATCTACTGGCGTAAGTTACGAAAAAGTACTTCCAGGATTAGATGTTCATATTTCACCCAATACGTCTGTATGATGGAAAACACACATAGTCATCTTTTTTTCGTATTGAAAGCAAAACACAGTTCTAAAGATTCTCTATCGCGTTTATGATCACATTGGCGATGGATTCTGCGTAACGTTTCTTTCAAGAAGTAAAAGGAACTTGACACTTCTACCAATATATCTTTGTCTGTAGGTGATCTACATGTGTGACGACCCCGCCTCCACTCTGGAAGACCACACACGTGTGTGCAAGAAGTGCGGAGAGTGGAGCGGAAAGGAGCCGACCTGCTACGAGCGCGGAGCCTCTGAATTCTCCTCCATCTCCGTCCCCTAAAAAATTCCCGCCTCCGAACTGGAACACTTAACGTGCACTTGTATGCTTAGATGTTCAAAGGCCTCTCCCGTCGCTTCAATCTATGATAATTGAATGACTGCTAATCTAGCAACCGATGGCTGCAAACTAAACTTTGTTTATTAAATTGTTTGTTAAACTTTGTTTGTAAAATATGTTTTCATTTTTCAAAGTCTGGCACTTTTTTATGAACTTGTTATTTGTTGGGTTATTTTGAACGCGCATAAGCCCTCAAACAAGATTATTATTCGATTACGACCAATGCAACAAGACTAGAACCTTTGGGATCGTGACATGTTCCACTTCGACAGAAATAACAAGTTGTCTGCACCACAAAAATGATTCTTTGACGGATCTTGATGAATGATTGTTTCCGTTGGTGGCACTTGCTTTCCAGAATGCATCCACTGCCTATCGTAGTTCTGGTAACGTCTTATGTATTTCACAAAATCTCAGGCGGCCTTCAGCACTTTCGGGAAGTTAGGGTTACTCCCTATGTGAGTACACATCCATCTCCCTCGTGTGCATTAGTGTTCATCCAGTAGTGCTGAACCACGCACCCACGTCAGAACTGACCAAATTCAATCCAGCCGAGGCTTAAAGAAATTTTGTCGTACACCCATTCAAAAGAGTCAGTGAGTGACTCACCAAGAGCGCTCGCGAATTCGGCAGTGGGTACCAGTAAATCGATGTGGAGCCAAGAAAGTGATGGGTGAATACCTCTGTGAGGCTTCTTTGCTTTCTTTACCCAGTTTTCAAGTTGGAAATCTGTATATCCCCTTACATATATACTCTCATCCCTGAATTTGGGCTCTGAATATGCTGCCATCGTATCTTCTTTTGTGTGATTTAAAATAAATTTAGAGCGCATATGCATACTTTAACGATAAGTCACCAAGTGCCTTTGTATTATACAGCAATAACGTTAACAGGGGTTACTTTCGGCTATCGTATCAGCCTGTAACACTTTTTGTATTTATGCACTTAAAACTATTTATCCGCGTGTCCCGAAGAAGGAGTGTGGGCTTGAAAGTACGGTGTCCACGAATTTCCCTCATTCGTCAGAAAGTGGCTTGGTTCCTTTTGCCTACACAGCAGCCCTCCCCCGGAAAAATGTCGAAAAAATGAGCCAAAAAGAAATGCAATGCCACTTGCGTGAGAGTGCACACTGCTTGTAGGCGGTGTTTTCTTTCAAAACGGAGCGTGACTTCCGTAGATCGGCACTGACAAGCCGTTTCAACCAACTGAGCCTGCTGAATTCTCAATTTTTGGTGCTTTGTAATTAAAAAAAAAACTTTTTAAACGACTGGTAATTTTAATAATTAAAACTTGCACTGTATATACACTAAGCACGTGTAACATACTTGTAGCGTTTTTTTAGACGGATCTTTAACTTGATGGGGGATAGACCGAATGATCAGCTGTTGGGTGTCATTTTTGTTCAATATGAAGGACGTTGTTTGTAATGCATCATTATTTTCCCTGTTAACGTTTTTAAGTTGGTTATATCGAGAAACACCTTTGATCAAGTAAATGCCCTTTGGCGCACTTGCTGATGAGCTTTTTTCGGTGCATTGTCGGGGTTGCTCCTTGAAAAGAAAGTTTGCTGTAAATGGTCAGTAATGTTCAGACACGTGGGAAACTTTCCCAGGTGTGGCTGTAGAGTGTTTCGCCTTTAGAGGAATCCTGCAGTGTTGTTACTGGCCCTGCCCGATGGCCCTCTCCAATGGTGAAACGAATTGTGCTGAGTTTATTCGAAATGAAAATACACACGTAGTTATGCTAAACGCCGTTGAAAGGGATCAGTGGGGAACGCGTTGCTGCCAGCGGGACCCATCTTAGCCGGTAGAGGAAGAAAATTACCCCCATTTTACAGCGTTTTGATTTCCAGAAATTCACCAAATTGTTTACTGAGCACAAGGTTTCCTCTGTTAAAGGCTTGAACGAAAACAAAAGAACAATCCCGCAAAGCAGTCTTGTCTTAAAATGTTTTTCATGGATTGCGAAAAAAAAGCACACTAGAGCAATGTAAGGAAAGAATCTGTAGATCTCGCCGGACTCATGTTATATGAGATTTGAAACAAAAAAAATGAGGAAATGTCAAGTTTTTCATCTGATATTGATACGTGGCGATTTTGTTGGAAATAATCATGGAACAGTTTCCTGTCGAATAAACACTTTGCTTTGTGTTTTTTCAAGTCTGAGTGTTGTGTTTCTTCTGTCTTCCTGGTCTGTACAGTCAATTTGATTTCATGTTGTCTGACTTAACTTGAATTTAACAAAGGGATAAGCTTAATACGGGTCAGCGCCAGCGATATAACGGATGCACAGGGTATTCTTTCCAGGATGATAAGGTCATACCTACACCACCCACCATCTCGCCTAAAAAACTGCACCAAGCTTAGCTGTGTCTTTTTAACAGACATGAAATAAAACTCGTGTTTGAAATTATTGGCCTTAAAAGGCAATGTTGCAGAATTTTAAGGACGAAAAAAATTAAAACGAAGGAGACAAATTCAACACGGGTCTATCGATTTCTGAAGTGTACTTCAAATTCACTGAAGGACCATGCAATTAAAACGGTTTAGTCAAAATAATAAAGCTTCAGATTCATATAACTGAATATTCAGCAATGAATGTTACACTATTAGACAGCCCTTGTTATTCTAAAATCTAATATTGTTAGTCTTAACTGGCATCGAAGCTATAAAAACTACTATTCTTTCGAACTATCAAAGACATCACAGTTTAACCTCACTATTGTGGACTTCACAAACTCTGGAAGATATTAAAGAGTATTTGAATGTCAGCTTTTAGGCTAGGAATAAGAAACTCATTAAAAATTAAAATAAACCAAAGTTCCTAAAAGTCACTTTTACGTGATTAAAAAAATTACCCTATTTCAAATAACTATTGATTTTGTGAGATTTTATTTACCAAACCCTAATCAAACTAATCTTGGCTTAATTTTCCAAAGAAAAGTCAGTAGACAAACCTGTGCAACTGCTTTAGTTACTAATCATTTTATCCAGAGCCCTAAAAACCAAGAAAATCTGTTCAAGAAAAACGATCAAATTGTCACATTTTAGTGTCGACTAATTAATCTAAACAAAGAAACCTCTTCTAGTTTTGAATACCAATCTAATCCGTCCTGAAGAGATATTGTTGCGTTATCGCCATGTGACTTTTTGCGTCTTTGAAGGATATTTGAATGTGTAGTTTGTGATTTTCAAACCAACTTGTGTAAACTTTTACCTAATCGTTTTTACTGATATTTGACGTGAACTGAATATCCTCAATTACAAATTAAATTTTCTACCAAAATGTTTATGACACAAAGTTACCACACTACCGTTTTGTGAAACTACCCATAAGCAAGTTCGTATATAACAAATTGCAGTCGAGTGAAATGCTACAGGACAGGTGTAATTTTTAGCAAAGGAATACTAGTATCCTGTTCTTAAGTGTGACCTTACTTCAGTTTAATTTATTTAAAGAACCATGGGACTGGAAGTTAACGCACAAGTTTAGTATTCGTCCAATGGAAGCTGGCAATTTATGGTGTGTCCACGTGTATGACGAAGTCACTTACAAACCGGATAGATACCGAAATGATTACGTCACGCGCATAGTGTGTAAAAGGCAATACAGCGAGAACCAGCACCTGAACCAGCATACGCATTCAATTCGCGTGCACACTTCCTGCTTCAAAATGACGTCACACTTTGATACACTATAACTGCATGAATGGTAACCTTAGCTGGTTGCTACAGTAACAAACTTGAAAATGAGGAAGAAAAACACGCACTGATATAGTTTCTAGCCCCACTGTTAACTGTAGGTACATTCTTCAGTTGCTTAGCATTGTTTAAACTAGTCTACCGTCCAAACTGTACTTCTCAGGGCCTACTTAATTAATCATATCCATGAAGTTTTTCATATCAAGTTGTGCATCTGTATGAGGGTCAATAAATTTCTTGGCCGCTGCTTTCTTGTAGACCTCGTGGATCTGGTAACGTAGGTGGGGGTTTTCACTCACTATGGCCTCCAGAATCAGATTGGCTACTTCGTCGGCGCTCACCGCTGTGTTCATCATGGGACCCGCCAATTTCTCTATAAAATTCATGTACTCATCTCTCAAAGGGGGGTCATAATCCTTGGTTCGTTCAGCTGGAGAAACGGACCCGAACTTGGTGACCATTGGTGTCTGAACGGGACCCGGTTCCACAAGGCTCATTCTGGCAAAAAAGAACGGTAAAAGTTATCCCGCTGTAAGTGCGCTCTCAAACAACTTGTTCTGACGCACTTTCACTGATGTGAAAGGAGGGGGAATAACCATCCTCGCCATAAGCTTAAAAAAGTTATAAGAAACACAGTGTCTAACAGTGCCGACAAGGTGTGTTAGCCTATACTCTTTATGACGACAACACCGGAAGGTGCTGTAGAAGTTACTAATAATGATACGTGTATCAAACCAGGTACGCACTTCAATTGAGGCTTATCTTCGTTGTGGGTAATGTCTCTTGTGTCGACACCTTCTGTACCCATAATATGTTCAACAGGGGGATCCCGGAATTTTTCTGGGGGGGGGGTCAGGCCAGATATTTGTTTCTTTAATGTCTAAATTTTACGGACAAACCATGATGAAACATTATATATGACACATATTGTTGACATTGTATTGGTGCACTAAATGGTGTAGGCCTAGTTATTTTTAAGTATTTTTTGGTGTTCAAGCGGTGGGATTCGATCAGCACCCCCCCGTCCACGCCTGCCCATAGGCTGCCAGAATACATCAACCAGATTGTCCTAGAGAATAAGAATGAGGCGTATGCTGACGATTCTGTACTGAACTCAAAACTGCGAGGTTGGGAGGGGTTAACTTCTAAAGGGGCAGGAGACAAAGAAGAAACTGAGATTCGTAAAAAAAAGGCTTGACTTTTCTCGTTACCTGATGTTGTATGCACGTTTCAGCGTTACGGCAATTGCTTCAGTAAAGCCCTCCACGGCAAACTTGGTGGCAGCATAGATGGTATTGAAAGGCAGGGCTGTTAAACAGAGGACAACAAAATTTGCAAACCGACGAGAATGAGATTCTGGGAAAAGCAAAGGGACGTTATACAAACGGCCTTTGGGCTTCAACGATGTCGATCTTCGGTTCTTGTATAACCTGTGCTTATCAAGTCTCCATTGTAGTCGTAATACATAACAGAGTGAAGTGCTGAAGAGAACTGATGGACTGTCCTCAAAAGAGGTGGAAACTTCAGTCACTTGAAAGAGTTCTTTAGACTATTTCTGATTATACGCAGAATCGTCTTTGAAATCGTTTTTTTTTTTAATTATTATTGACTAATTTTATTATTATGTAATTTCTGGTAAGGACACCTAAGATTCCTCAACTGAGCACCCTAGGCGTAGAGAAGTGTATAGATGTAACAATGAGAAGCAATAAGATTCAGAAGAGCTGTATGCAATGCAACAGAACTAACCCCACACAGCAACGATACTGCTGACGTTGATGATCCGGCCAGACTTCTGTCTCTTCATCGCTGGTAACACGGCTCTCGTGGTCCTCACCGTACCCCAAAAGTTGGTGTCCATCATGGCCTGACAAGCCTCTAAGGACAGCTGGTCGATGGCATCTACTTCTCCGTAGCCAGCATTGTTCACTGGAGGAGGGGGGGTCCGATTTGGATTGTATTTGATAATTCAAATCGGAAAATCCTTAAATCATTTATAGAATAGAATAATAGAAACCACACGACCCTGTCACTGGTGTCATGCGTTCATCCTCCAATGAAATTGGGTTTTGTTGGTACCCTGCACTTCCTCTTGGTTTTATATCGCCTTTTGTCAAAAAGGGGTTGACCAAAAATGTATGCATCTGCACGGATATCCCTCCACCATTTTCTCTTTTCTTTCAATGAAACCCATTATAATACGAGCCTATTAAAGGACGTCTGTGGTATTGTTGACTCTTAAAATCGATGAAATGGCAGACAGTGATTTTGATTGTTGAAAAGTCATCCATAATTTTAGGAAGCATCTTAGTTTTAGCAGGGTAATTTTCCATAGTATTTCTTCAATTTCAACACCTCTGTAATTTACTCACCAAGAACATCGATTCTCCCATTTTCTTTTAAAATCTCACCCGCGACCAATTTGATGGTGGCCTCCTTAGTCACGTCAAGTTCTCGGATGAAGAGTGACTTGTTCAGGGTGTCTCCGGCTGCTTTCTCCAGGTCAGTTTTGGACTTGAGATTCCTCATTGTGGCATAAACCTGTCTCAAAAAGGGAATTTAACATAAAGAACGAATTCGTTCATATTTCAATGACTGAAAACAATTTTGCTGTGGAGGCCACGTGCTTTAAAAGATAACATTTTTATAAAGCAGAAAGCTCACATCTTTGAAATATCGTGGTTTTGAACGAAAGCACTTTCCCCGTACTAACGCATTGCAAAATATTTGTATGACCTGAAATAATGTTTTCAATGGCTGTTGTAATTTACACAATGTCGTTTACAATGCGTAATTTTATCTAGGAAGCTAGACATGCGTGGGAGACGTATTGCTTTTTACACAATAAGCTCGAAGGAACGTAGTGCTGCCTTTGCGCATGTGCAGTCACGATACCCATACAGGTACATGTATGTGAACGGCTGCACAGTGTTCGTGAAAGCGACGTAGGGAACGGAACAACTGTTAAGTACCGCTGCCAACAGATGTTGAAACGGTGACGTTGATATCGTGAATTTTCATTTACCAGAAACCCCAAATTCAACCACGTGAACTCGAGTTTTCAGTTAGGACTTACAGAATTTTGAGCATTAGGCCTATAGACTTCGCACGTCGAGGCCTTGCAAACTGTCTCGCCGATTAAAGACGTCACCGTGTCGTGGAACCTCGGATTTCGCTACGTGCTGTTCAAAGTATCGCATCCTTATCAGAAAAAAATCATTATATTAACTGAGAAAAGTAACATTATATTACGTGATTATTCTGCATAATAGTTTGTAAAGAGATTACATTCAGTTTATACCAGCTCCTTTTTACTGGCTCAACTCGTACACGAAACGTTTATAGGTTTTCGTGTGCTGCGTGCACACGCCATGCAATGTACTGTACAGAGGTATGTATACCGTATGGTGTAGGATGCACCAGGTTTCGACAATGACGCGTACCGGTAATCGTTTGCATGCTTGGGGACATTAACATTTTATAACAAAGCGCAGAATTATTAGGAACTTAAAAAGAAAGAAGAGGAAGAAAAAAACAGTCTGAAGATAACCAAGAGTTTTGGGACGGTCGGTGTGACGGAACTTAACATAACGTTTTCCCGCAAATGCGCCATCCCAACGGATCTGGCACAGACTATACAGATCTGGAAAAAGTCGTGTTTGTATTTGCACGCTATGTACTTGTATCTGACATTATCTTGTGGGAAGTCGACATATTACCCCTTCTGTTTTGCAGGGTGACTTGTTCCTTTTTTCCATTTCTTTTTTCAGCTTTTTCCTAATACCTTAATCTGAACCTTGCTGACTAAAGCTCTACATTACCTTATATCGTGCGTCCTTGGCCATCATCACTGCCGTGGCCAGCCCTATCCCTGTCGAACAGCCAGTAATGAGCACAGTCTGAGGTGCCATCTTTACCTCTATAGACTAACACGATCCTAAACCAAAATCCACAACAGCAAATCCCCAAGCGCTGAGGAAGGGTTGAAAGCTGGCCTTTTATAGGTCTGTCTGAATTATTTGGATGATAAAAAGTCGTAAGTGCAAAATAAGGTGCAAAAGTAAAAAAAAACAAAACAAAAAAACCAAAACAAAAACAGGGAAATGAAAGAAAGATAAAGGAGTCCAATGTTCAAATAGTCCAGACATTAATCTCTGCTTTTATTCAATACCATATCATGATCAAAAGGTTGATGACAGAAGGCTGGTGTCAGATATGTTGACAGAAGGTTAACTAAACAGTCACGCATGCAACCAAGCAACCCGCATGTTCCTAGTTCATTAGCTATACGTCAACGGGTTAATCAATAACCATGACAAAACTGCAACATCACTCAACCACTCGGAAAAAAGGTCTGCCACCTTTACAGTAACAGGTAACCCCTTCCTACAAAAGTTCCTACAAATACTTATCCACGTATGTCCACGTAACCTTCAGAATCATTCAGCAATAAAAACAAGAACTACTGCACAAGTATAGGCCTGGATTGTATTCACGCTCGGGTTGACTGCTCAAAACTAGCACCGGCTCGAGCAGGACCGCCCCCCCCCAATCGGTTGAAAAGAGCTGAGTTTGTTTCTGCATGCAATTTGGGACCCTGAACAATAGAGGACAATAAGGTCCCCAATTGACAGAGGGTCCCCGATTGGCAAATGTGTACAAAACATATGGGTGGTCTTCTAAAAAAGTACAAACAAAAGAGGAACAATAGGGGGTCCCCAGTTGCAGGCAAATACACACTTGTGTGGTTTTGCTACTTATGGATGTGGGTTGATGCATAAATTACCCGATATAATCATTTTTCAAAACAGGATCGGGATACTTGGAATAAAAAGTATCATTATAAGCTAATAATACAGTCTATGAGATATACCAGACAAATTATTTTGTAGTTATTTAGGAATGCATGAGGGGGTTTACTGCCAGACGAGGTGTTTGGTTCTTGCGACGTTATTTATACGATTCATGCTTTCTCCAATAATGGCAAAAGTTGTGGGGTCCACTAATGTGCCACTGCAGATGCTATCCCAAATATGGGTGCGTTGCTTGCTGCAAACGATACGGTCAAATACAACTCGCTTGAGCTCATCACAGAAATTTTAAAATTTGTGTTCATCTATCAAATCCGTACCAACACATTAAAACACTGCGTAGAACAAGAACATGATAAGACGAACAGCAAAACACACCGACCAAAAAACAAACAAACAAGCCAACCAACCAACAAACCAAGACCCCAACAAACAAACAAAACAAACAAAGAAACACCCAACAAACAAACAAACAAACAAAAAACCAACAAACACCAAAATAAACAAACAGACAAAAAATGCACACTGTCCCCAACTATCACTGCTGTTTGTTTACTCAGTGTATAGGTGGTCATCAGCTTTCGTTTTATTCAATCATCTATTCGTGTATTGCCAAGGGCTTATATACAGCCGCAAGCAGGGCCAATACTAGAGGGCACTATTTTTCACCAAAGGAGGCTCCTTTGGTCGGAACTTCGCTGGTTCAAGAACGACCAGGAAATGCATGCACCACGCTCACATCGCTACCACGAAAATGAACACGTACTCCCCACCAACGCACTGTAGGGTTGTTTGGACGAGTCGACGTGTTTCATATGAGAAACAATGTGTCTACCTAGTACTTTGGAAAGTAGCTTCTTTGACTTAATATCCATTTTCCATTTGTTACACTTCTTCTATGTCATTTGATCTTTTTCCGTTTAAATCGTATCACCTTGAACCCGTTGTGTAAAGTTGGGAGACCTTTTGACATGGATCAATAGAACCTTTATAAACCCGTTGCCGCGCAATCTTGGGCTAGGTACACAGGGTACTCTGTATGATTAATGGCCTGTCTCGACGGCCGTTTGGTGACTTACTGATTCACTACGTAGCTTCGCAAACTCTTTGTGGACAACCATAACAAAACTGCAGCGTCAACCAATCGCGCTAAAAAGGTCCCCTACCTTCACAGTAATAGATTGTTGACAATAGATTTCTATGGTGTACTGTTTATGACAAACATTTCTCAATTGACTCCCGCAAGGCGAGGCAACAACACCACGAGACGGCAAGACGCGACGCCATGACGGCAAGACGGCACGACACAATGTGTTAAACAGCATAAAAGTAATGGGTAAAAAGGCGACGCGACGGGAGAACGCGACGGAGCTGTTGTAGCGTGCGTTGTGGCGTCGGGGCGACGGAACGACGCGACGCAATTTTTGGCGGCTATAGAACACCCTACTTCCATCGCACATGAATGAAGTTTTTCAAAAAGAGAGTTTTTACAGTGCACAATGGTTCAGGTCTATGATGCGATAGCACCGAGCCTAACTCACGGGGGAATAAATCCCAGGGAATGGGGTATCCGCCAGGAGCTGAAGTGCACTTCAATCGGCAAAAGAATGACAGGCGGTTACAAGCCTGTTCTTGCACGCGTTCTGCGTGTACGCAAAGACCGTACATGCCAGAATTAATCATTATTACACGTATTCAGCGCGCGCAACGTCAAACCCGCGAACATTTGCGTGTCTCATGGCGCGCCCAAGTGATGAGTATAGTACCATTTATCTCTATGGGTGCGTTCGTTGAGCCATCACGTGATCTTCGTGCCTGCCCTGGTGTCAGCCCCCACTACCCTAGTCTTGGCCCAAGACGTCAGTGATCGATAGTTGTTTTATTTCTGTTGAAGAGCGCCCTCGCACAACTAGTTTTTACTTACTTTCACTAACGTCTTGGGAAACTTGCAGGAATGGGGATGAGGCAGGTGTATGCAAATGACTGATCGTATTAAATATTTATATAATTTGAGGCTTCCTTTGCGCGTAACACTGGTGTATTAAAAAAAGCTAATCCAACGCACCCACTATAATGGAGATCAATGGTGTGTACCAGGAAACACGCCCTCTTTTGTTTTGCTCGGAGCGGATATTGTATGTCTCCGCACATTTGGAGGGGGGGGGGGCTTTGTCATGGTGATGAGAACAGTAGGGCCAATTTGAACAATTTGGGGGACTTTCCATGTCACCACCCAGCTGTACTTCAGCATTGCTTGGCAGGATCAATTTTGAACTGACATAACTGTGACACCAGGGCTTTTTCATTTTCCAAATGACTCAGTGAATATCATTTGGTATTTTGTTGTCATTTTAAGATCCCCTCTTTCATGAAGTAGTATTGGTTGAGTCAAAGGCATGGTAAATACTGGGGAAATAAGTTATTAAAGAAGATACCAACCTCAAACCTAGGTTTTACTCTCTGGTAAGAAATTAACCTCTTCATGAAAACGTTGACGACATGTAAACACCAACTTCAGATTTGATTACAAAAAACTTCGTTCTATCAGATATTACTCGGGGGTAGAAATTCATCCGGTAGTACAAAATGTGGGTTCTTACATTACCTGGATGATAATACAAGATGAACAAATTATCAGTTTTACCTTCAAATTGTAATCCGCCAGTCCATAATGACCGCCTCGGTAGTGAGTTCTTGGGCGGCCCTCGCTGGGAAGCCCTAGCGTGACCATTGGGTCTGTGTCCCCTGCAACTCACGGTCTTCGGTAAGTGCCAATAACTTGGTTTGAGTGTGGTATATGGGAATTTGGTGAAGTTCATTTCCACACAGACTTTGACAAGTACGTTCATGGATTTTTTTCCACCTTCTAATATTTAATTTTTGAACAAATAACTACAAAAGGTATTCATCACTACGGAATACAATTCACTATAATGATTTGTAACGGTGCACTGTGTTACAGCTACATGCAATATATTAGCCAACAAATGACGTACCACCGACTGATAATGTGTTACAAGTCGACGGATACAAACCGGTAACGTATTTCCTGTCGACAGAATGAAACGTACAAAACGTCTGAAACCAACAAAACAGTGCATATTCGTTCTGTTTGAAGTATATTTTAAATGTGTAATTTGTTAATTATGCGTTAAATTATGTAAAAAAAATTCTTAATTGCATTTATGAAGATATTAGGTAAATATTGACTTAACTCAATTCAAAATTAAGCTTTTACCAAACGTTTATGAAAAAAGCTACCATACAACCGTTTTGTAAAACTACTTAATAACAGGTTCGTATAGCGCATTGCAATCGTGTGAAATGTCACACGATGCTATTTTTAGTAAGGGAGCAGTGGTATCCGGCTTGTGACTTTGTCATACACGCGCACGAACTGATTTCAAGCTTCCGTGGGATGAGCACTCAATCAAGTTGGACCTTAACTTCCATGTAGCTCCATGTGCAGTGGGCGTGGTTTATACTGAAGTGACGTCACATATACGAATCGGATAGAGTACCAAAGGGATTGCGTCACGCACACAACGTGTAAAAGGGCATAAGCGCGAGAACCAGTCCGTCAACCATCGCGCGCGCGCGCACTCCATTCGCTTGCACTACACTTCCTGCTTCATAATGACGTCCAAAATTTTGGTACACTATAAACTAAAATGTAAATAATTGTAAAAAAACATATTCATCTGCTTGCCCTGACGACGGTACCCTGTTACAAAACCTCAGCAATTACATAATTCAGAGCACTGATTATATGTTATATTTTTTTTCTATATTCTAATCACGGTACTACGCATCCCTTTTTCTCTGTAAATAACTGTCACCGATTATGAATGGTAACCTTGACTAGTTCCTATGGTAACAGATTTTGAATGAACGAAAAGCACGCGTATAGTTTACCCCATTGTTAATTGTAGGTATTTCATTATCGCTAAGCAATCTATTGATTGTTAAAACTAATTTTTATCGCCCATACTATCTTTCCCAGGGCGTACTTATTTCAACGCATCCAAGAACTTTTCCACACTAAGTATGGCATCTGTATGAGGGTCTACAAACTTCTTGGCTGCTAACTTCTTGTAGAGGTCTTGGATCTGGTAACGCAGGTGGGGATTTTCACTCACTATGGCCTCCACGATCACCTTGGCTGCTTCGTCGGCGCTCACCATTGACTTCATCATGGGAGCTGCAAATGCCTCCATAAACTTCACATATTCGTCTCTCAAAGGGGGATCGAAATTCTTGGATTGCTCAGCTGGAGATACGGCCCCGAACTTGGTGACCATTGCTGTTTGCGTCGGCCCAGGTTCCACAATGCTCATTCTGGCAAAGTATGGAACGGTAAAAGTTATCCTGTTATAAGTGCACTCCAGGGAGACATTGTTTTGACGCAGTTTCACTATGTCTTAAACCACTGATGTAAAATAGAGAAGAAAGTTGTTAAATATCCTCACCATGAAGATGTTGGCAATGTATTATTTTAATAAGTATGTTACATTTATAATGAGATTAGTGTCTAACAGTGTTGACAAGACGTGTCAACCCTAATTATTGAACGATATGATGACCAAATCTTTGACGTATTTCAGAGGTTAATAAATAAATTAAGGTACATTAGGCATTTCAAAATGGGGCTTCCTCTTCGTTGTGGGCAATGTCTCTTGCGTCCACACCATCTTGAGGCCGGCAGAATACTGCTACCGCAAAATTGTTCTCGAGAATTAGAATAGGCCAGTGATAACTCTGTTTTTAACTCAAAACTTCGAAGTTCAATTTGGAAGGAGTTAAATTCCAACGGGCAGGCGGTGGACGGGAAGCCAGGATTTCGAAAAAATAGTTTGCCGTTTCCCATTACCTGATGTTGTATGTACGTTTCAGCACTGGGGCACTCGATTCAGTGAAGCCCTCCAAGGCAAATTTGGCGGCAGTGTAGGTGGCAACGAAAGGCGTGCCTGTGAAATAGAAATGTTGCAGACCTATAAGATTGAAATTCAGACGAAGCATCGGGATGTTACTGTCTCGCGGCAGAAGTACCCCCTAATTGGTTGAACAGAGCCGCTTTCGTCTGGAGTGTCCAATTTGTTGGTAGTGATGCGACCATGACTGGTGCGTGTGCATTTCCTCATGAACCAGCGACGCCCAGTTCCGACCAAAAGAGCCACATTTAATAAGAAAATAATGCCCTCCCTCGAGACCCATCCCAACGGCCTCCGGGCTTCAATGATGCCAGCTTTGGTTAGAGAATGATTTCCGTTCCCTGCATGTTCCCATGCAGCTGAGATATTGACCAAATGTCCCCTACACATACTTGATGAGGTGAGGTGACACCATGCAGATGTTGTTGCAGGAATGTTATGGCATGAATGATGCACATACCGGCGATGTGCCATAAATAATCTCTTTCTGGACTAACTAAAGCTCTGAAGAGAACCGATGGACTAAAGTTCGTCAGAGAATAAAACAGAAAGCTTACTCCCTCACCCTTGAAAGGGTTCCTTTAGACCCTTCAGGCAGTGTCCAAAACGGGCTTCCTGAGCTATAGCTACGTCTAGCGTGTCTTTCCAACTGAGTGAGCGAAGACCTAGACCAAGTTCTAGATAACAGATTTGAATGCAACCTTATTGAGTGGTCCTACGAGGACCGATTTGATGTACCGTAGACTCGTCCTTAAAAGCGTGTATGTCAAACAGAACTAACCCCACAAAGCAGTCGCACTGGTGACATTGATGATCCGGCCAGACTTCTGTCTCTTCATCGCTGGTAACACGGCTCGCATGGTCCTCACTGCGCCCCAGAAATTGGTGTCCATCATGGCCTGACAAGCCTCCAAGGGCAGTTGGTCGATGGCATCTGTTTCCGAGTAGCCAGCATTGTTCACTGAAAAATAGCCGTATAATAAATTCATTTTAGAGTAGTGTACGAACTCACAATGCTTGGATTCACCGTTCAGTGCTTTCAAGAACAGAATTCTGTGCTGAGATAAACTTGCAATGAAGTCTTAACTGATAAGACTTTCGCTCAGAAAATCGGCCAACGAGTCAAAATAATTGGTTTGCTCTCATTGTCATGAACAATATCCTAAGAAGTACCTCAGGAACTTCACTAACTCCAAACATTCATTGGTGTCTGCCAGACACGTCTGACCCGTATCAAATCAAACGCAAAATCAACCCCCCTATAGTGGCGTAAGTCTGTGTTGGTAAATCAAAGTGAGGGGATAGGTTGACTGTAGTGTGTCAGGGCGTGTGTGGGGGGACTACACGACACTGTCGTTGGTGTCCCTTGGGCATCCTCCAGTAAATTTGTACTCTGCTGGACCCTTCATTTTTCCCCGATACAGCTCCATGTATTATATTTCCATATATTTCCCTGGGCTTACCGTTATGTATTAAACAAACCTCAAGTAATATTTTTTTCCGATTACATCACAATTTCCGGATTTGCACAATTTTCAGACTTATAATGCTCAATTAAAGACACCATACTTTGCGCAGGGAGTGGCACAGAGAAGTGTGGACAAAAAAAAGAGCATCCGAGAAATGTCCCTTTCGTTTCGGGAATATTTCAGCTGTGCCAGCCACTAAAGATTGACAGGAGTAAAACCTGTTGGGTGCGCTGTTCTACTCAACGTTCTCAAGATAGGAACGATTTATTGAGCTTAATATTTAAACTTAGAACGCAACGTTTCGACACATTTTCGTACGTCCTCTTTTTCGACGGGTAAAAGCAGGGCTCCGTGCACAGAAGTCCTTTCCAGTAATTGTATTGACATCAGATTAGAATATTTTGTCCACATCCTAAACATTCAGAAGTTTAATTCTTATTGGCACAATGAATAGATAACGATAAAACTAAAGACTTTATTCACCAAAAACGTACACAAAAAGACACGAATACGCTCAAGTTTAAAGGAAGTAAAGTGGTGCCCTGTTTGACTCAGGATAGGAACGATGTATTGAGCTGGATATCGAACCCAACGCTTCGACGTGTCACATTTGCGGCCGGCGTTCCCCCTTTTCAAAAGTAAAAGTAGGACGGCATGCAAAAAATTTGAGTCCAGTATTGTATGTCACTAACATTATTAGTTTGCATCAGAGATTTATTGTCTGCATTATAAAATATATATTTTTATTGGCATTTCAAGAACATAAAAAGTGCATGGCAATAATTCAAATGGGGCCGAAGAAATTGGGTAATAAGCACCGTTCAGGAATTGAATCATCAAGGCAGAGGTCGGCAACGAACGAACCATTTATACCGTTATACTATTACTTGTACTATGTACATGTACAATGTAGGTTACATTGAGTGCTCACGTTGACGTTCGTTGTCTGGAGCGTAATAATATCCATTATTAGCGAAATTGTGGCCTGCCCGATACTTGTATTGGGGAATAGCAGTTACTCCGGCCTTGGTTCTGAAGAGCAGGGCCCTACGTCCCAATTTTGTTACATAGAAATGTTCGGTCTTTTCATTGGACATTACATTTAGAGTCTTTCCAGGAACATACCCAACTCTCAGTGAAAATCAGGATGGGTTAAAATAGGTAAAGTATGGGGATTTATTGTCGTGGTGCACACTTGGGATAGAGACGGATGCCGCTGGTACGGCGTCGTCACGGGCTTGCACGAAAAAGCACAGATAACAAAGCGGGGCCAGGGAACAGATCGTGAATATTCATATTTCTTGTAGACCAATCAAACAGGAAGCGCGCAAATGGTACCACGTCGCCCAACGTGATGCAAGAATAGTATCGCCCATGGAGAAACGCTACAACGTGATGCAAGAATAGTATCGCCCATGGACAAACGCTACAACGTGATGCAAGAATAGTATCGCCCAGGGACAAACGCTACAACGTGATGCAAGAATAGTATCGCCCAGGGACAAACGCTACAACGTGATGCAAGAATAGTATCGCCCAGGAACAAACGCTACAACGTGATTCAAGAATAGTATCGCCCATGGAGAAACGCTACAACGTGATGCAAGAATAGTATCGCCCATGGACAAACAAAGTATCGCCCATGGAGAAACACTACAACGTGATGCAAGAATAGTATCGCCCAGGGACAAACGCTACAATGTGATACAAAAATAGAGGGGACAACGTGGACGTATCGTGAATATTCAGCAAATTTCCAGGGACCAATCAAGGGAAAAAAGGAAAACAAGAAAACTGTCGGGGAACCAACGCCCAGACCGTCCCAGAGCGCCGCCACGCCGCTGGTACCCTGCTAAACTCCAGGAAGATCCGCATTGGGACCATCGCACACACGGCCAATGGCAAAAACTGATCGATACGGCCACCCAAGGGCCAATGGACGAACGCAACACACGCACGGTTCGGGAGGGCGAACGGGCCCATCCTGGCAAGATGGCACACGCCCGCACTCAATGGCAAAGGGCGTCCCATGACGACCGACAGGCCGGCCAATGGATGGCCGCGACAGATGGATGGTTCGGGAGCAGCGATCCGGGCAAGATAGTATAGAGAGCGTTCGATTAGCTTATACGTGTAAGTCAAACTTACATGAGAGCGTTCGTTTAGCTTACATGTGTAAGTCAAACTTACATGAGAGCATTCGTTTAGCCATCACGTGATCTTCGTGCCTGCCCTGGTGTCAACCACCACCCCAGCTGGCAAGGGGGTCTCTGGATGCTGCCCAGATGTGATGACGTCACTGATGGACTGTTCGAGTATGGAAATGATGAAACGTGGCGGGGACTTGACCTTTTTCCCAGAATGCCTTGGCGAGTACACGGCAGCGTTCGATCAGCCTCATTTCGAGGCTTCCCTTGCTTGTAACACTGGTGTATACAGAGAAGCTAATTGAACGCATATCAATGACCTTTTCCCTTTTCTAGGTCAAAGTGTGCTCAACTGACCCCACCCCCACTACTAACTATTCCTTCAGACGTCCTTTATTGGTTCTTATTTTCATGGGTTTCATTAAAAGAAAAAAATATGCATACATGGTTAAACCCCTGCGTTACATTTGGTCTTTTATTGCTATTAAGTCAGTTGCACTGTCTTTTTTGACAGTGGTCTTACAATCACCCTTGTAGTAATTCTTAGAATTACTAAGATTATTGTAAAAAATCAATGATGAACAACGGGAAATAAAACGGTACCAGCACCAACCTACCAGAAACCAATATGTGAAGTCCACTGAATTTGTTTTGTGTTATGCTTATGGGTATGACTATCGAATAATAATTCTCAGGTCGGATATCGGCCGCAAATTCTGCAAAATATTCCACAGCACGACGAATAAATTCACCCCTTTGCACGTGTTAAAATCCCCAACTGACGTCATGTCGCCCCCAAGAATTCTCAATTTTATATAATGCTGTATTTTACATTTAGGTCCCACAACAAAGTACAACAGTAACGCTCCGCTATGACTAAATTTGTAAAACGTATACATGTACAGGTATTAAACCGCCGTAAAACAACCGTTCAAAGAATTTCAAAAATTCTGCCAGAGCCCAAACCATAAACATGTACAGGGTAAACGACGTAAAACACTCTAGTTCAAAGGAGTAAAAATTTAGCTAGGGACAAGACAGTCTTCTTCCCGTATCAATCAAATCTTGGTAGCCATAGTAAGCTGAACGCAAGACCGTTAGCACATGGGCACCCTCTCTCTCTTGTAGTGTCCAAAGGTTAAGTCGGACCAACGCTCACTCCCAACGTACACAATGTAATCATTCACAAAATAGCCAGCCGACACAGCTCACCCACTATGTACAGCTCTTTGTTTAGGAGTTATCGCTCACAACCCGGCGGCACGTACGGTCCTTTTGTTTAGGGATTATCGCTTCCTACTTCCTTATTACTTTTGGACCTCCCTGTAGGCCCGTCCGTATTTTCCATGACGTCACAGCTTCGACTCATGCAGTATTTTTTATCATGAGCAAGGTCAAATTGTTCCAAAATGTTTTACCCCGTGCCTTATTCCTATTTTATCCCATGCACCAGGGGTCAACCTGTGCCAGACTTTCTGACCTTATGCCTATCCTTTACCAAAAGTCAATCTGTGCCAGAATTTTTCACTCTACACCTCATTCCCATTCATATCATATCATATTATTATTATACTTATGCATATTAATGACCTTTCCCTTTTCAAGGTCAAAGGTCAAAGTGTGCCCAACTGCCCCCCCCCCCACTACTATGGCTGATTCTTCATACCAAACAAAATGCCGATAGTAATCTGGATTGCTGAAAAAATGTCAGAATTAGGGCACCCCGTTTTAAGGACTGACCCTATTTTTCCATCGACCCTGCTAAAAGGACTTTGCCTGTAAAAAAAGTAGGAAGTGATTGTCTGGTCAAAAAGCGCTGAAAATGTACATGAGCAATTGGATTCGCCAAGCCATCAACGCAGCGACAGTGGAAATCCCGGTACGGCATCAATACCTCACCCAGTGTGCCACAAGTACCGAGCATCATAATTATGAACAACAAAATACAGTATGCATGAGCCATGTACATTACACACTGCTGACAATAACACCACACGATGCCTTGACACTGTTATCTCTCTCCGTACTCAGCTATAAACAGGCACACTCATGTACGCAGTATAAAAACAAGTATACATGGTGCACTTTGCCTGGTTGATTCAGTCATCTTTATGACAGCAGCAAATTTTTTGACCCTCCTTCAATTAAAACAAAACATAAGAACCATAGAATATAAAAAAGTGAGTGCCTTATATGGAAGCATTAGCATGGTCATTTTATCCTGTAATCACTAAAGTCTTTCTTGATATTCTACAACTCTATAATTTACTCACCAAGAACATCGATTCTCCCGTTTTCCTTTAAAATCTCACCCACGACCGATTTGATGGTGGACTCCTTGGTAACGTCAAGTTCTCGGATGAAGAGCGACTTGTTCAGGGTGCGTCCGGCTGCTTTCTCCAAGTCAGTTTTGGACTTGAGATTCCTCATTGTGGCATAAACCTGTCTCAAAAAGGGAAACGTTACTTAAATGAAGAGAGAATTCGTTCATATCGTCCACGATTGCGAGCATCTTTGTTGTCAAGGGATTCCGTGTCAATCCTGCAGAACATTTTATGAAACGGGGAAGCTCGCATCGCTGATAGCAGCTTTCAACCGAAAGATTTCTCCTATAATTATCTTCCATAACGCATTGTATTTGTGTTAATAATTAAGAATCTGGTAGTGGCGTTTGTTATTTATAAAAATCAGTATTGTGTCTCTTTTTCGAAATTTTACCTAGGCTTCGTTGATAGGATTTCGTTAACAATACATTTTTCAGGAAACTAGACATGCATTCAATCAAACAACGACCTGGATTCATTCGGCATGGAAAGAAGTGTCTTTTAAATAGAAGATTCATTAATTATTTATATAAAATCAACACGCACTTTGATTCCTGTACATGTGCATTCGGTATATATAGGGTACGCTTCCTTATAGTCCAAACATACTTTTCTTTGGGTTCAATTGCAAAATTCGATTTCATATTTGCAGATATAAAATAAATGTCTTTGCACTGTAATATTATAACATTCTAATTGATTCTAATTGTGGTATGTCCGCCTCCTGTAGCCAGCTGGTTGCCATTGAAAATAAACACTACCGTAAACCGGAGTAACTTTGGCAGGTTTTTCTTCCTTATTATTCATTTGTTTTGCAGATAGATTTTTTTACTTAATTGATATGATATTTCTGTCATATGGGGCCTTATGTAAGAGTACATACCCATTTTGTTTCTTACCACTGGTGAATGAGCCTCAAGAACTGCTGCCAAAGTTACCCCGTGGTTTGGGGCAACTTTGGCAGGTAGACAAAATTTATTAATAGTTCAAATTAATATTTAATGATTAAATATTATTTCTGACAGAAAATTCAACATTTTGTGATTAAACTGATCATTAAAGAGTACAATTCTAACAATACTTTCAGCACTCATTGCACGCGCGGCATAGTTCTAACGATTTAATCAAGGGGTGTGGCGGGTGCCAAAGTTACCCCGGGGTGCCAAAGTTACCTCGGTTTACGTTACTCGGAAACGCCATTACCGGTGCCACACACAAGAGAGCATGCCTTAGGGTGAATGAAATTGAGGGCGCCCCTGGACTTACAATTGGCGAAAATATGACAAAGAACATTGGCTTAAAGTGGGGGAGAGGGTCGGTTATTCTGAGAGATGTTTAGTTCCATGGTACACATAAATCCATAGAGCATATTATACATATTGCATTCCATTCCAAAATTCCATTTTCTGATTATGAAAAAAATCATTTGCTTACGTAATCTGGTCCATGCAGATTCGAAACAATGCATTTGCAACATTTGAAAAGAGGAAATAGCATTATCGAAGAGTGAAAAACGGAACTTACTCACAAAAACATGCCATCCATTCCCACTGAACCCACTCCATTGTTTCACCTACTGCTTGCCCATCCTTTTAAGATCAATGTGTGCAAGACTGGCGGTCTATACGTTTATGTATGTTTGTATAACAGGGATCATAGTAAATGTGAGACCAGGTGCTCCCCGCGCCTCCAAAGTGCTCCACCACGACGAATCCATGGACAACACAAGTTTGCGCACATTACATTCACAAACGTTGTACCCGTAATCTGTGCAAGCCCATTCGGTATATGTTTGTTTCATCATACTTAACACATATCCCTTGCTGTTTCTGCATGGTGTCGTATTCTCTTTTTTTATCTCTTTCTGCAACGTTTTTCCAATACCTTACTTTTCAACACCTTGCTGAACAGAAAAATATGCATTACCTTGAATCGCGCGTCCTTGGCCATCATCACTGCCGCTGCCAGCCCCATCCCTGTCGAACAGCCAGTAATGAGCACAGTCTTAGGTGCCATGTTTACGTCTGTAGACTAACACGATCCTAAACCAAACTCTACTAGAGCAAATCCCCAAGTGCTGAGGTAGGGTTAAAAGCTGACCTTTTATAGGTCGGTCTGGATGACAAAAAGTGCAAACTAAGGTGTAAATTTAAAAATCAGAGGAAAGACTGATAAAAGGAGTCCAATGTTCAAATAGTCCAGATATTAATCTTTGCTTTCATCGAATGCCGTATCATAATAAAAAAGGTTGATGACATTTGGTGTCGGATATGTTGATAGAAGGTTCACTAAACAGTGTCGTATGCAACCAACTAGCCAATAAGCACGCAAAACATATTCCTAATAGTTTCTTAGCAATACACCAACGAGTTAATCAATAACCATGACAAAACTGCAATCTCATTTAACCACTCGAAAAAAGATCTTTGACTGGTCAAAACTGACACCGCCTCAAGCAGGACCGCCCTCTCATTGGTTGAAAAGAGCTGCGTGTGTGTGATGAATGACACGTCTGGATGGCTGCTTCGCTACCACGCAAACTGTTTGTCGATGAATGACCACGGCAAAACTGCAGCGTCACTACATAGCGCTAAAAAGGTCCCCAACCTTTACAGCAATAGATTTACAATACCGGTAAAGTTTATTGCAACGCTTGGTCTAAATGTTTACTCATTGTAGCATGCTTTGAAAATGTGTCAATATATAACCACGCGTACATTTTACCGTAGTATGGAATTCCATTGCTGCCATTTTACGCGGTGTCTGTGGGGTATTTTGGCGTGGATCTCTCCACACTTTCCGCCGTCGACGGAGCTTGTCGCGTTGTGCGTCGCATTGTCGCATTGCCTCATTGTGGCATTTTCATTGAAATAGAATTTGTTTCGCATTCTCCGCCAGGAGGGCGCTGTTGCTGTTGTGACTGCGGTTTTTAGCACAACCATCCCCTGTGATTATTCCCGTCCGGACAAGTTTTAAAGAGCTTTCCTTTCCGAGTTCAAGTTTATGCCATAAGATGAATAGGCCTATATCTTCAGATTATACGTTAATGAATCCCCTTTTGCGTTGCCACGTGGGCAGTATCCTTTGAAACATTATATTAGCCACTGGCCAAAGGCCTTACGCTGTAGCTTGGAGCGAACCTATTACCTTTTTGAAGCACTTGGACGGTAACCCCTACCCTATTTTAAACAAAGTTGGATCCATTTAAAACACTAGGACTAGATGACGACAGCAGGACCGTCAGTGGATATAAAGTAGTACAAGTTTATTAAACAAAATACTTTCATAAATTCTACAATTCCCGAGCACAGAAGTTTTGCTCAAGTAGTTCTTTATTTCTAGTCTAGAACAGAATCAAATTAAGCTTTTCATAGCTATGATTAGTGCTGCATCCTGTGTGCATGCATTCTTTCTTGGTATGTCATGTTACAGAAATCCCGAAAAGCTATTGAACATATTTTTTAAAAATGTCAATTTTGTTAGCATGCGTCAAAGCGACGATGCGACAGCGCGACGCTACAATGACGGCACAACGCGACAATGCGCTGTCGACGGCAGAAGTGTTGGGAGATCCAGGCTAAAACGCCCCACATGCGCCGCGTAAAATGGCAGCAATGGAATTCTATATTTTAGGCAAGTGTAAGTATCTGCTTCAAACTGAAGGCAATTGCTTCAATTGAAGGAAACTAAGGAAGCATATAAGGGCCACTTTTAAAAAAAGTTCAAGATAATATCTCGCCGCGGTGAGTTATTTATCTCGCCGTGGTGAGGGCAAAACTATGAGCAAACTCGTTTTGCTGTTTTCGCGAATTGACGCCAGAAATGTATACACATGTAACAATTTTGCACCTAGCACGCGCTATGGCAAAAGCGAATAGGCAAACTGAGTCAAATTTTAGCGTTTTCACAAAGAGGCAAATAATGTTTGTTACAAAATGAACCATTTCTGAATACCATTTTAATTCAAATGCCGTGACATATGAAACACCAGCTTCAGAGATTTGATTTTAAACAAGTCAGGTGTATTTATTATACAAACACAAATGCCCCGCCCCGAATGAACTCCCCTAACCCCGATTCAATAGAGCAAATTGTAGTAAAACATGCATGAGAACATGAAACAGTTGTGTACATATTTCAATATTAAAGAGTAAAGCATGGGGATTAGGAATTTTTCGGAAATTCAGGTTTGAGAAAATAATGGAAAACAAAGTGGAAGTTCCTGAAGTTATTGCGCTGACGAGTATTCTATTGTTTTAGTTGAATTGACATTTGGCCTCATTATTTTACTACTAAATTCAATAGCGTTCTTAAGATTATAGGGAATAATCCACACACCAAATTTGAGGTCAAACGGATAAAGAACTCTCAAGTTATCGCGCTGACAAGAAGTCGGCGGGGCATAAAAAAATCTTTGTTCACAATTAGTCCATGACACTTAGGTTACATCTTTGGGAGGGCGACCTACAGGAACGCTAACCCTTTTTGTTCATTACTTCTTTCATTTCATTGATTCAGGATTATGAACAATCCTCTTTGTGACCTAAAAGATCTTATATAGTTAGATATCTTACTGATTGATACCATTTACTGTCCCTTCAATCCAGACATTACAGTGGAACATTACGATTGATTACTAAGGAAGCCATTCAATCATTATTGTTTAATATTTTACCTATACTAAACTATAGACGATGGTTCATGACATTCAAGTAAATTAAAAGCATGTGATAAATAATTGTCATACTGAAAATACCACGGCTATTTCCATCATCACCACAACTTCATTTATATTATTTGTAGGCTGTAAAAACCCAGTGGGAAAAACCGGCAGGAAAAAAAAAACACGGGAAAAAGGCTTGAAAATAGCCTTATACCTTAGACTCATAGCTCAAAACACCTCCTCGACGCGGAGTGATACATTCCACAATAAGAACTTAATTTAGTTTTAATTCGCTACCCCTCTCAAACGAACGAAATTAATTAATTAATCCATCTTTGAAATAACGAACGAAATTACATTTCAATCCTAGAGAAATTACTTGGAGGTGGAAATTCACCCTTATCACAAGACGTGGATTCTTACATTTCAGACCCTTTCCCAGTTGTTTTAGGACAGAATAGTCAGTAAGTCCCTCCATATCCAAAGAGACACGGTGTACATTTCTCTGATATGTGGCTGTAATATTTACTGTTTTGACAACTTCCAAAGACAAAACTGCTGATTTTTCTCCGGTCGTAAATAAAATGGTACTAAAAATGGACAGGGCGCCCCCTTTTTGTCTGTTGCCGTGGGCGCGGCGCCGCCATCTTGTCTTTACTGGTTGCACCCATTGATCTCCATTATGGAGAGCAATGGTTGCACCGCACCAAATACCTGCCCATAAAAAACGGTGCAACATCGGATGGAACTGCACCGCTTGTTAACTTTCGCGAAGATGTTGCTTCCTTTTTTTCTCAAAAAGTCAAGATTATGGCCAGAAGTTCGTTTTAATTTTATCGCGGTTAGCCACGGCCCGGTTTTTTTTTAATCGCCTTTCCCCGAAGACGCCCCCAAAATAGCAGTAAAACTATGCGTTCAGCTCTGAATGTAGCCGCCTGCCTCTATCCAAAATAGGCCCACAATTTGTGACTTTTTGTGAAAGAAATACTCCAAACTGGAAATAGTCATTCCCAAATTTGGGATGTGAAATTATTTCTATGATTTCTCCTGATTATGGCATGTCTTATTGTAAAAAACAACAACAAGAAAAAAAAACCATGGGATCACAAAACGTTAATGAGCTCGCGCAGAAATACGACCATTTGGTGGAATGCACCCATATTAGCTTGAGAACCAGCGCGCCAACCAACACCCGCGCGCGTATTCCATTCGTATGCACTATCCTTCCTACTTCATAATGACGTCACACTTCCATTACACTATAAACTACATGTAACAAACTATCAAAACGTACATGTATACAGTCAGTATTTTTAATTTGTGTTATTGCTTATCTTATTATTAAGAGAAATGATTGTACGGTACGCAGCCCTTTCGTATTTCTATCACCGGTTATGAACAGTATTACCTTAGGTAACAGCGTCGAAAAATAGTGTGCCTGGCGCGGTCTTGTCATTTTCGGGCGGTTTACGTGACGAAAGTAAACAACTTTTCCATGATTACATACGAGGGATTCGGAAATACGGCATCAGTGTCTCAAAAGTCTCTTATTTGTTGAATGCATGTTGTTTGCAAAGACCTATAGCGATGGCTTGGGTCAGCTGCAGCTACAGATATAGTGTAAACGAATAACTCCGATGGTCAGTACCTGAACTACCTATCTGTGAACTACCTGCAAATGGGAGGAATCTATGCGATAAAGTTTTCACTATCACATAACTAATAAAATATAACTGGATTTGCTTGACGTTTTTTTACAATCACTGTTCCCACAATGAACCAAGTTTGAATGTAGTTGTGCTGTTACTGACTGTTCCTTTTGCAGCTCATTTGTATTTTGATACTAGTTGTGAGAGCAATTAATTGGGTCTGGGTCAAGGATATCAGCATTGGAGCTATAAAGGTTTCACTAGGAACATGTAATCATGCTTTTTCTGTAGGACTTGACAAATCTTGTATAATTGCATTTGTCATATCAGAAGTCATTTTTTTGCATCCATTCTACCCTTGGAATGTGGAAATCTTTTCTAGTGAAAAGAAAAAAAATGTATTCGGCAACCCCCTAAATTCTAAGTCTCTAAACTGAAAATCTGGTACCATCCTCATTAACCTTTTCAATGCTACGCTTATGAATAACACGACTCATAATTGAAGGTGAATGGAAAGTTGATGTACATTACTGAAGTTTTGATTCACTTAGACATTTCTATGTTGCTTTGGTGGTCTGTTGCTGTTGTGCGTTCAAAATAAAAACACACAGATCTTGCAGTACTTTTAATGTTTTATACATTATGTATTATGAGCCTTCATTGTTGCTTATTAGTTCTAATCATAGAAAAGTTGTGGAAAGTATGTTTTACAGATCTGCTAAGGTGAGGCATAAAAGTGCTGTAACATATCAAAGGAAACATAGGAGTGTGATGCAGGGCGACATTATTCGTGAGTATCTGTTTAATGTGAACTTATATTTAATTCGGGGCGTGTGCAGACATAGAAGAGGGGAATCCAGTTTCCACTCAAACATCTCATCAAACTAGTGAACTGAAGAGTCACTGAAATTTTCAGCTCATCAGCATGTCTTTCAAACACTTCCCATTTCATCATGAGGGCAACAAATCTTTGATTTTGTCGATCTTTGCCCTGAGTTGTGAATGTTTGTCCTTGCAAGCCTGACAAAGTTTACTATTATGCAAGTATAGGTTTCCTTCACGAAATAATGGCCATCCATAAACACGTTCACCGTAAGTTGTATGTATGCAAATTACAGTGCAACTGGTAAACGCTGGTATCGATACCAAAGGCAACAGTGAAAACAATGAGTGCAGCAATGCATCGTTTGTGTTTTCGATACTAAGAGCAGGAATCAGTATTTTATTTGACTCGAAAACGACACTCTGCTCTTAAAACGCCGTATTTGAACTCAAATTTTGGAAAGAAAGGGTGGCGTCTCCAAAGTGGAGTGTCAGGAAAAGATTCTTGAGGACCTTTTCTACGTTTTGGCTTGGTGCGTTACCGTCGCTAGGAAAACTCAATATGAAGAGATATCACAGAAGGCATTTTTTGGCAGTCAAATTCGCTGTTTTAATTTTTTGGTCGTGGCGAGTGAGTCAGTAAACTCTCACATTAATCATTTGCACTTGTCTGCTGATTTTCTGAAATGTCATGCAAGTAAGAAACTCACCCTACTCTTTACACGTACATCAATACTTTTTATTTGAAATAAACCATTTAGTCAGTGAAAATCACTGCTTTTATGGTCGTCCCATTTTTATCAACAAGGGCGAAAAGCGTCATCTGCTAGCCCAAAACCCGCTGCTGTCATCTGCAAGTACTGAGCAAGCGCAGTTCTAAATAAACTAAATTCCCTTTGGAATAACGGGACACGAACATACATGAACAGGGCCTACTTATAAACCATATCCACGAAGTTTTTCATATCAAGTTGTGCGTCTGTATGAGGGTCAATAAATTTCTTGGCCGCCGCTTTCTTGTATACCTCGTGGATCTGGTAACGTAGGTGGGGGTTTTCACTCACTATGGCCTCCAGAATCAGATTGGCTACTTCGTCGGCGCTCACCATTGTTTTCATCATGGGCCCTGCTATTTCCCCCGCAAACTTCAAAAATTCATCTCTCAAAGGGGGATCGAAATTCTTGGATTTCTCAGCAGGAGATAGGGTCCGAATTTTGCTGATCAATGCTGTTTTTACCGGCCCAGGTTCCACAAGGCTCATTCTGGCAAAGCACATAGATCGGTAAAAGTTACTTTGTTAAGTGCACTTCAGGAACACATTGTTTTGACGCACTTTCACTGACATCGTTACATATCCTCAGTACTGAAAAGAAATGTTAGCCTTTATTGTATTGAAAAATACGATGACCACATCTGGAGGGCACTCTAGAGGTTAATAAATAAATGAAGGTACATTGGGTATTTCAATGTGGGGATTCCTCTTAGTTGTGGGCAATGTCTCTTGCGTCCACACCATCTTTAATTAAGCTGACTGAATACAGCAAAATTGCTCTTGAGAATTATAATAGGCCTACTCATAACTCTTTATTGAAGTCAGTGGAGTTTCCGAAGTTGAGAAGGAGTTAAAATCGGGGGAGAGGGAGACGGAGGGGAAGAAGAGGTTACCAAAAAAAGTGGTTTGCCGTTTCTAATCACCTGATGTTGTATGTACGTTTCAGCACAGAGGCACTTGATTCAGTAAAGCCCTCCAAGGCAAATTTGGTAGCAGTATAGGTGGCCGAGAAAGGCACGCCTGTAAAATAGAAATGTTGCAGACCTTTAAGAATGACATTCGGACGAAGCATTGGAATGTTATCCGTCTCGAGCAGAACCACTCCCTCATCGGTTGAAAAAATCTGCGTGGGTCGGGAGCATGCATCTTCTTGTCGTTGGTAAACCAGTGAAGGTCACTTCCGACCAAAGGAGAGCCGCCATTGTGTTAAGAAAATAGCGCCCTCTCCTGAGGTCAATATCAACGCCCTTCATGCTTCAACGATATCGGCTTTGGTCAGTGCACTGGATCCGAGATGTTGGCCAAATTTCCCCCGTAATACTTGAGGTGCAGTGGCACCATGCGGATGTGAATTGTTTAAGGAATGTTTAATATTTTGAAAGCATGTTTGATGTACAAAGCAATGTGTCATGAACAATAGCACGACGTCAAATCTCTTTCTGAACTGAGTAAGGTTCTTAAGAGAACTGATCGACTAAACGTTCAGGGCAATGCATTAAGTTCTGTTTTTTTTCAGAGACTAAAGTGGAAAGCTTTAATACTCCCTCGCCCTTGAAGGGATTCCTTTAGACCCTTCAGTCTGTGCTATCAACCAGGCCTCCCAGGGCTAGGGCCTCATCTGTTATTGTCTGCGTGTCTCCGCTCATTTCTGAAGGAGCGAAGGCCTAGCTAGACCTAGCTCTAGATAACAGATTCGAAAGCAGCCTCGTGGATGATCCGCAGGGAAATACAGCAGACTCGTCTGTAATAATCGTGTATAGCAAACAGAACTAACCCCACACAGCAGCCACACTGCTGACGTTGATGATCCGGCCAGACGTCTGCCTCTTCATCGCTGGTAACACGGCTCGCATGGTCCTCACTGCGCCCCAGAAGTTGGTGTCCATCATGGCCTGACAAGCCTCCAATGGCAGCTGGTCGATGGCATCTGTTTCCGTGTAGCCAGCATTGTTCACTGAAGGGGGGGACAGGTTCAAGAATAGCCGTAAAACAAATTTGTTTTAGAGTGTCTGTACGATCTCACGATGCTTGGTTTCACCGTTCTGTGCTTTCTAGAGCAGATTCCTGTGCTTACATAAGCCTGCAATGACAAAGTCTAAGCTGATAAAAAGTTGACGCTGTCTAGTGTCTTGACACTGACCCTAACTAGATATTGTGTTGTGTACCAACACAAATATTTCTCTGCATTCAACTAGAAACAAGCACCCATAGTACTCAACATAAAACACAAGGAACAATTTGTGCGCATTGCCTTGTTTATTCAGTCCTCTACAGGGAAGCAGCATGGATTTTTAAGTATTTTTTTTGACCGAGCGACCCTCCCGCAAATGAGAAAAGATACGAGAACTATCGAATTTAAATAGGGTGCGTTTAAGCCTCTTAGCATGGGCATGGTAATTTTATCCTGTGACGCAGTCTTTCATCAAATTCAGCAACTTTGTGTATTACCAAGAACATCGATTCTTCCATTTTCTTTTAAAATCTCATCCGCGACCAATTTGATGGTGGCCTCCTTAGTCACGTCAAGTTCTCGGATGAAGAGCGACTTGTTCAGGGTGTCTCCGGCTGCTTTCTCCAAGTCAGTTTTGGACTTGAGATTCCTCATTGTGGCATAAACCTGTGTCAAAAGGGAAACGTTAGGACCTGAGAGCGGATTCTTTCATATCTAACATGTTTGTTGTCAAGGGAATGTGTGCCAAAGCTGCCGAGCTTAATTAACTGTTTTACGCGGCATGTGTCCCAAAACAACAATTTATGAAGTAGGGAAGCTAGTATCGCTCATTTTGTAGTTTTCAACAGAACTATTTCCCCTGTGCTAGCACATTGCAAAATATTTGTATAAGAACCTTGCAGTTGTGTTTGTAACTTACTTAAAAATGGATATTGTGTCCCTTCTTTGAAGTAGACGTAGTTAAGTTTCTTTCAGTGAAATTTCTTTTACAATACGAACCAGGAACCTATAGATATGCATTCAATCAAACAACGACGTGTATTCATTCGGTTTGGAAAGAAATACATTTGCATGGGACACTCACTAATTAAGTAAAATCAACACACTTTTTCTTACATGTATTCGGTGCATAGGGTAAGATTTCTTTTAGCCCAAACATAAATTTCTTTGGGCTTAATTTCAAAAATTAATTTAAATTTGCAGATGTAAAACGAATTTCCTTGCACTAATTGATACTTCCGCCTCTTGTAACCAGTTAGGTGCCACTAAAAAAACACACCGACGCGTTGCCATACTCTACCAGTATTAACTTAGAGTCAACTGATGAGGGGGCACAAGGACTTATGACAAAGAACATTAATGGTAAACCGGGGGGGGGTTTACATGGTTCACATAGCCTTAGTGCGTAATAGCGTACCCTTTCTTCTTACTGAATGTCTATATAGAGAATGGTCACTTGCCTCAAATTGACTTCCGTGTTTACGACTTTCGTTTTCCAAAGAGGATGCGATACTGCGAACAACACCTGGCAGATCAAAGTCCCGCTATGCACGGTGACGCGTTCAATCGGCGAGACCAGTATGCAAAGCCCCTTGATGCGACACATCACCTAGCTGAAAACCAGAGTTCGGGTGGCTGAACCCGGGTTTTTTGGTAGATGAGAATTCACGGCACAACGACAGTTCATCTGGTGAACGTATGCGTGGACATTAACATGTTTGTAACGAAATGCATAGGGCCTACTGAAAGGAAGTGTAAAAAAGCCCGAAGACAATCAGAGTTTTTGGTCAGTCGTGCAAGAGCAGCATAACGGTTTTCTGTTACAATAGCAAAAAAAAAAATCAAGGAACTGTCGCCGGGGCGTACTGTGCACTCGTGGTGGCGCCAGCCTAGCAACGGTATGCAGCTCATCAACTGAGAGATGCCGAACTGGAAAACGTTTTTTAGACCACAATGCCTCCTCCATTTACAAAGAAAGTTGTCCAAAATGCGGAAGAAACGCTTACAAATTACTGTGTCGCAAAAGGATTGGACTTTTCTTTTATTTCATGATGGTGTTTTTATTTTCAGAGGTCATTAAATAAAACACGTGTGAGGTATAATAAAACAACACGGTTTATTTCGGTTGGACAGTGGATGTTAACTCCCTCGGTATTGGGAGTTAACAAACTAGTTCCCGAGGCGAAGTTTCAATTAATTTTGTATAATATGTGTGTGGACCAAGTGCTTCCCGCACGATCAAGTATAAAGTGCGCCATCGCTACGAATCGTTCCCCGAGTACACGGGTACTGCAGCGCACATCGCATTCACAAAAGCCGTGCCCGTAATCGGTGCAAGCACACTCGGTACATGTATCTTTCATTATCTTATGGGAAGTCAACACAGAGCCCTTGCTTTTTCTTCTCGGTGACTTATTCGATTTTTTCCCTCTCTCTGTGCACCCTTTTTTCCGATACCTTAATCTACACCTTGTTGAACGAAAAGATCTTGGCATCACCTTGAATCGTGCGTCCTTGGCCATCATCACTGCCGTGGCCAGCCCTATCCCTGTCGAACAGCCAGTAATGAGCACAGTCTGATGTGCCATCTTTACCTCTATAGATTAACAGATCCTAAAAAAGAATCCACTGGAGCAAATCCCTAAGCGCTGAGGTAGGGTTGAAAGTTGGCCTTTTGTAGGTCTGTCGGAATTATCTGGCTAAACAAAAAACCTGCCCGAAGGGCAAAATAGAGTGCTAACATAAATGGTGTCGGGTTTGTTGGCAATTGTTCATGGTCTAAGTCGAACTATATGTCAGTCGAGTATGTAACCAAGCACCAACTAGCCAATAAGCACGCAAAACATATTTCAAATAGTTCCCCAGCAATACATCAACGGGTTAATCAACAACTGGTACATAACTTAACCACTCGATGAAAAGGTCTGCCATCTTTACAGTAACAGATTATTGGCAATTGTAGGTACTTTCATAAGTTGCTAAGCTACTTTATCGGCACTCACCATTGTCTTCATCATGGGCCCAGCAAATTTCTCCATAAATTTCAAAAATTCATCTATCAAAGAGAAGGGGGGTCAAAATTTTCGCTCAGCTGGAGATACTGACTCAAACATGCTGACCACTGCTTTTGGCACCGGTCCAGGTTCCACAAGGCTCATTCTGGCAAAGCACATAGATCAGTAAAAGTTACTCTGTTAAGTGCACTCCAGGAAGATATTTTCTGGACGTACACATGGTAGTTTTGGGCCAATGTCGGAAAATGTACAAACGAATTAGAAATAGCAGCATTCGTTTTCCAGCGAAATAAACGGCCATTCAAACCCCCGTCCCTACAAGTAAAACTTCTACTTCAAGGAGGGTGCCTTCATTCGTACATTGAGCCAGCGTTCAATTTCCTGATTACGGACATTCCTTTTTGCGCGAAACTGAATGCACCTCTGCAATCCTGCGTTTATTTAATTGAACTGGATCTATTTCGTAAAATGTCACGTACAGGCAGTTTCGCGCAAAGCGTTATTCAACGTATGCCTCTTGGTCAAGAATTAGAATTCGTTTGTGCTAACAGAAGGTACACTACACTCTTAGAAGTGTTTAGTTGAATGGTTAAATATTTGAATATTCATGATTGAAAAAAAAATTCATATTGTTATTGGACACTACGGCTATTGAAGGAAACCTATAAAAACCAGCGCTAAGGGAACCCTCCTTCTAGTACGGCGTTTCACAGAAAGCTAGTTAGTTTTTACAGTTTGATAACAAAACGCACTATGAATGAATAACATAACATTTTTATCGTGTCATGATTCGTGTAGCCTTGTATGTTCTGATCGAATTGAACGTATAGTTTTCGATTTTGAATCAAATGAAAATCAATACTCACTTCCAAAGGGTCATGGAAAAAAAACAGATTTTTAGCGAATAAGAATGCACGTTTGTTGTAATTGGCAAGGAATACGTCAATCCAAAATCCCAGTCACGCATTTGTAACTTCTTTAATGAAAAGTCAGAAAATGCAAAATGAAGTACAAACGTAAATGGTGTCGGATTCGGTGACAGCTGTTCACGGTCTAAGTTTAACTACAACAGTCACGTATGCAACCAAGCAACCAACTAGCCAATAATTATACACGCAAAGCATGTTCTAAATATTTCCCTAAGCAACACATCAACACATGACAAAACTTCAGTATCACTTTACCACTCGAAAAAACGGTGTGCGACACTAACAGTAACATATTGTTGACAATCGATTTTTGACAACCAACATGGTTAATGTTCACTGATCTGGGGAAATGCTTTGAAAATTTGTCCATAAATATGTAATTACACGCGTATTAGACCCCCTTTATAATGTGATGACCAAGTACGAGAACCTGTTTGAAACCAAACGCGATTTTATGTGTACTTCCTTATTTTATTTTAAGTGGGAATGAAACAAAACACCTAAAACGACATATTTGGAAGTAACGGAAAAACCACTGCACGGCTTTAGATTTTATTCACAATGGGGTTGCAGTTATAAGACATCAAATATAAGACACAACTGCTCAAAGCTGACATCACTCATCAGCTCTTCTATGGGCCTCGAGCTGGACCAGGTGAAGGCGTTGTTTTCTTAGCAGCAGAGGTTCCTTTGGTAGGGAATGAACTTCGCTAGTTCACGAACGACAAGGAAACGCACGTGTCACGGTCGCATCGCCAACAACAAAGTGAATTTTCCCGACCAACACAGCTCTTTTCATTCGATGGGGGGGGGCTTCTGCGTGAGTCGGATATCAGCCTTGGCGAGTACACAAAACCTGACTCACCTACGTTATGTTATAATACCGTTAAAAGGGGACAGTGTGTTTCTTTTTTTTTTTTTTTTTTTAGAAATGCTGTGTTTTACACAGTGATTTTTATGTGTAATTAGAATCAATTCGATTAAAGCCCAACCAAACCAAAGCTACAATATTCCAAACAAATTATGCAAATCCCTTTCTCTGTCGAGCTCGAATGATTACTAATTTGCAGTTTGCAGCAAACAACGTTTGGGATAGAGGCTGTGCAGTGGCTTGTCGACAGAACTGTGCACCTGACAACTTTTGCCACAATAGACCGATTGCGCCAGCTAAGTCACTTGACCTGAAGTGGGTATCAGATATCAACAAACACGGCTTCCACCCAAAGCAAAGTGTGTCGTAAGTAACATTTACCAAATATAAAACCGACGGTAGGCACCGTACTCTGACTACTGATGTGCTAGGGACTGTACCGTAACTTCGCTGTATTGTTTTACACAAAACTCAAAACACACGTTGCTATGGGGTTGATACCCACTATAGGTCACGTGATTTAGCGGACGCAATCGGTCTATTGGAGAAACCATGAATCGGCTAGTTAGGCCTAATATGACTAGTAAGAATCAAACAGTAAGTAAGCCGGCCTAAGGTGCAACTATTCCTCAATAACTACAAAATCATTAATTGGGGGGACCCATTACAAGTATCTGGATGGAGCTAGTTTTGGAAACTTTCCATACCCATGTCTAGTGGTCACGCACCAAAGCAATTAATAAAACCATTTTGAGGGGTGGGTGGGGGATTCGACGTGTTTTATTCGTGTAAGAACTAATTTCCTATAAATTAGCTTGTTTGACATAATATTTTTTCCGCATTCGTTTCTTCTTTAATGTCAGTTTGACGTTTCGATCTGGGTAAGATTGATTTCATCCTTAACACCTTGAACCCCTTTTGTAAAGTTGGCAGACCTTTCTGACGTGGATCAACAAACCTAACCCCTTGAGGCATAATGGGGGGGTAGTTACACAGGGTACTTGTTTGATTGATTAATTGATTAATTAATTGCCTGCCTGACTGTCTGGCAGTGGCGTTTCCAGCGGGGGCTCCCGACGGATTTTTGTCACTTTTATTTTCATTTTAATGTTTAGAAGTTTTCATTTTAATATTATGTATCAGATATTGGCATCAAAACTTCAAGAAACCAACACCATGAAATAAAAGTTAGGATTTCTGGACCCTGAGTAAGGCTTTGATATTTTTTCTCCCCCAACATCATGTCAAATAAACCTGAAGCCGCATTCGCCTTTTAATTTGCCCCTTGCATGGCACCAAAAGCAGGATATGCTACTGTTGTCTGGCTTATCGGTTACTTTCTTACGCGAGCTTTGCGAGCTGAGTATCAGGTAATCATCAATAACCTTAACTAAATTGCAGCATCACTGAATTATTCCAAAAAGGTCTTCCACCTTTATATTATGGGAGATTCTTAAAATAGATTTTTGCAACTTGTGGGAGGGGCGCTATCTGATGGGGGGTGTGCATGAACAGGCACACCAGAACACCCTGGGCTCGGATCTCTGCTGGTATTATTGCTATTTAAATTACAGAAGTATACAGGCAAACAGAGGAGGCGACGGCAAACATGAGGAATTAAAGAAAAAGAAATACAGCCTAAGTTAATTGTTCCTTTTAGGTGAATGGCAGGAATTATACAATCTGAATGGCACAGTTTAACCCTAAAAGGATGAAATTGGAAATTTCTCGAAAAACAGTTTATCTAGTCATCCTTTCAATTGATTAATTGCAAAGAAAATTAAATTCACACTGTGGACTTCCTACTGATGGAAATAACAAATAATTATCCCATCCTAAAATTACATGTACATTGGAATAAAGACTATAAATCAATATCCCTCCAGTCCTGGGAAGATTACTCTCTAATTACTGTGTACCTAAGAGATAGAATCTAATATAATTGAAGTCCATTCATTCCAAACAGTTACAAAATTAAAGCAATAATCATCTTCAATAAGCAAGGGATTTACATGTCACTAAATCCTCAAGTACATGTGCATGTGCCCGGCTTATTAATTTATATGTCACAATTTGCCCAACATGTGCCTATACATGTTCATGCAAGTAATGTACACTTATGCGAAACCAGTAACTTCCTTCAATGATCCTTCCTTAAATGATCAAAACTACATAACCCCACATAATTACTGCACCATAGATCCTACTCATAGTTTCAGTCTCGGCACCATGGACGTCGATACAGATATATTTATATACACATGTATATGCAAACCAGACTTGTCTGAGCACACTGCTATAAGGCCGCCATTATTTTACCGCCCGAGAGTAAAACCACTTGCCCAATTTACCCATAAAATAATGTATTTATACCCTTCCCACGTTGTCTAACAATTTCTCCACTCCCCTAGAAACCCATTCGATGATTTACATGAAATTTACAAGCTCAAGAAGGGTGAAATTTACCTATATTCAGCAGCAAACAGGCCAACAGCGGAAGCGACGGCAAACTTGAGGAATTTCCCTGCCACCGCATGATGGCGCTGTTGCTTCACACCAGCATACTCACAATTATATGTACGATATGCATGACATCCCTCACAAACTCATGTTCTAACGTTAGCTAATCCTTAGGAATATTTGCAATATGGTGTACTTTTTGAGGCAGTAGGGGTG